GCATTGCCACAGTGGCATGTTGTTGCTGCAATTTTTTCAAATGGATAACTTGCTAAACTGAATTGGTGTAACCATGGCTCAACATCTGGATTAATAGGCTCTGTTAAGTAGCTGTGTGCTGTGTTGACATAACTGGACATACTGATTTAATTTGGGTATTGAACTATGGAAGCCCTGCAGTGAGGGCATCGGAACCTTCATGATAGCTCTGTAGTTTGTAGGCTGTCAGAACACATGCTTTGTAATGTTTCTTTCTCCTGGAGTGTTATGTGCTCCCAGTCATAATTTTTCATTTAAAAAAGCAGCACTAGTGAAAACACGGAGTACTGATATTTCTAGAACACCATGTTTAAATATTCCAATATTTAAGACTAAATTGTGAAAAGGCTTTTCTGCTAACCTGAAGCTCCAGTTCCTAATGACCAATAGAAGACGGAAGATGTGGAAAATGGCTGAAACCTGCTGTTGTACAAAATGGCAAATCCCAATTTGGGCTGTTCTGTAGTCAGCCCAGATATCCGTAAGTGCAGCCATGTTCTATGATACTGCTTAGCTGCTACTGGCTCTTGTAGATGGCTTCTTCATAGTTTAGTGTTGTAGCATCCGTTGCCATGTCAGAGCCATGGGAGCAAGCTTGTTACTAGTTTTTGTCCTAGGAGTGTTTAGTTTAGCATGTTGTGTGTAGGCACTGAGTGCCAATGACCCTTTACGTATAGTTATGTTTATGCAGAGCTAGGTCTAATAAGATGTAAAATAATGTATGAATTGCAGGAATAGCCTCCTTGAGGTGTTAACAAAGGTGTTTGTATGAAATGTCCAGAGAATAAAAACTTAGACATGCACGTTTAATAACCCGCATTAAATGCTTTGAAACATGAAAGCACAGTTAATACCTCATGCCTCTGTCCTCTGCTGCTAAAGTGTGTGTTCTGAATATTGTTTGTTGCTATTTGGGTAGGTCTATAGAGAAGAGGAAGACGTTCAGAAACGTGTTGGTTGCAGCTACTAGTGATGGATATCTGCATTGCTTTCCTGCATGGGAAACAAGCTTTTCTGCCCCTTAGGAAGCTCTAGATGCAAGGTTTCCATTTGTTAGGGCCCTCTGGAACATACCACCTGCACAAACACTGTTACTTAAAGTTTACTCTGAGGAACTGGAAGTACTGGTTTAAACCCTAAACTTTACAAAACATGTTGCAAAGTCCTTTTGTTTTTTAACACAAGATACTGGTGACATCGCTAATAAAATGGGGTTTGGGCCCCTGAGAAGTCACAAGTGAAACAGATATGGCCAACATCAGGAAGCAATAATTGTTGTTCACCTCAAATTCAGTAGCCCAGTTCTTTGCTAAACACAGGCCTTGTCTTCTGTTTCCCAAATGTGTGAACTTGCTTATCTCATTCACTAGCACTGGAATAATGATGACATAGCATGAGGAGTGTGTATTGTAAAAGCTGCTTTTCTTTAAAAAGAGACAAGTTCTGTACAGGAAATGCCTGCAGAACAGCTGGAGAGAGTTATCATGATGAAGCTGTGAATATCATACAGCAATCAAAAAGAACAAGGGATTTCCATGTAAAGAAGGCTCCCTAAAGTTGTACTGAAAGCTCTTGGCTTTTGCTTCAGATAGGTAACTTGCCTACCGCTGTGCCCCATCATCATACCACTGCCTGCTGCTGTGCCTTTGATGCTGTTCAGGCTCTTTTAGCCTGTTTTGGAAGAGTGCAGGATCATGTGAATTTTGCCAAAGCTTTACCAATATCCTGAACATCCTGCCTTAGATCAGTGAAGGATGCCCAAAATACTAAGCTATTCAGTGTCGGGCAAGTAAAAATAAATTGAGATGATGGTAGGAGTTGTTGATCACAACTTTGCGTTATTAAGTGTAGTGACTTACCCTACCATAACTGGTTCCTATGGCTGAAGGATCACAACATCCCCAGGGAATTAATACCTCTCCTGCTGTGGAGTTCCTGAAAGGTGGACTCTGATTTTAGTGAAGAACTGAGATTGCTTTTAGCTATTTAATGTTCAGTGCTGTATAAAAAGCTCAAATAAGCAAATAAAGACCTTTCTGCTTTCACAGACATGCTTGCTAGAATTGGAATATGACTGGATAGCATGGTTCCCTATGGTTCACTTCTACCTATTTCTCTTTGCCAAGAGGAGGAAGAGTGTTTTGCTGTAGTTAACAAGAATCCAGGTCTGTACTGGAAGAAATACATACCTTTTCCCTGCAGTAGGTTCTGTATTTGAATGGCAAAGCAGAGTTGATAGAGGTGCAGTATTCCTACATGTGGACTCTTCTAGCTAGGACTGAGACTTCCTGGCTTTTATGAAGCCTTGATCTGTGGCCAACTGTGACTTCGTTTCTGCTTTGCTAATTGTTTTAATGAGATTTTTCACTTTCTGTCAACTTGAAGCATTGAGTTAAATTTGTCTGCCAGAAGCTTTGTGTGAAGGCAGGTCACATCTTCCTCCAGTGGGATGTGGGATATTTAGGCTGTCCATGATTTTGAAGACATTCCCTGTTAAAAATGTAGTGACCTGTGAGTTGCACAAAGGAGGAACAGCTAAAAGGCATGCTCCTTTTACTTAGCCCTGTGCTGCAGAGGGGCTCTCAAGTAGCACTCCTATTTTCTTCTGCCAGTTTGCAAGAGAATTCTTTGGATTTAAGATCAGAAACTTTGCCTTGTCTTATTTTTTTCAGGGTTGTCCTTATCTTGTCTCCAGATGCTAGTCACCTGACCCAGATAGTCTTCCTTTTCTTTTAGTTCTTTATTCCTACGTGACCTGGAAAAATACATTAAACTCAAATTAGTTCAAAATAACTACCTGGAATGAAAACGTCCAAGTAACAGTGCACTTCGGGGTTTTAGTGTTCTCCTTGGCATAATCTAGATGCTGTTGAACTTGTCAGATCAGACTTTGAAAATACCATGAAAGATAACAAAAATCCCATCTGACTTTCTAGATGAAGCTGGATCACATTGAGTAGCATCAGCTTCAATACATACTTATACACAGAATTAAACTGAGGATGTTTTACAGCCTTTAAATTACTTTTGCCAACTTTATCAAGCCTGCATTTCTAAAGATCGGAGGTGCTTTCTGCAAGAGCATTCTCTGGTCTGCCTAGTCTGAAACAGTTTGTGTTGTGGAGGGGCTCCTTGTATGAGAGTGAGGGAAAGGTGGTAAAAAGTCTATCTAAAATGTTGTCTTTAAAAACTAATATCCAAGCTTATTTTCATGGCTCTTTGTGTAATGTTTTCTGAAACTGAGAACAGTTTGGAAAGGATTTTTGCAAAGAAATATTTTTTCATATGAGGGTAGAAATGAGACTTGTTCCTTCCAGATGCATTCTGTGTATTTGCGGAATACTACTATGGAATGTTTTTAAAATACTAACATTACTGAGCTATATTGGAGGGAATTTGGTCTCTGTCCAAGGTGTGTGTCCTGGGTTCAGCAGTAGCAGTCATTTTTCTCCTTCTTAGTAGCTGGTGCAGTGCCGTGGTTTTGACTTTCAGCCTGGGAATAGCACTGATAACACTGTTTTTAGTTGTTGCTCAGTAATGTTTAGTCTGAGTTTCATGCTCTGCCAGGGAGGAGGGAAAGCTGGGAGGAAGCAGAGACAGGACACCTGACCCAAACTAGCCAAAGAGGTATTCCATACCGCAGCATGTCATGCCCATTATATAAACTGGGGGCAGTTTACCCAGAAGGGCTAGATCACTGCTCGGTCAGACTGGGTGTTGGTCGGCGCGTGGTGAGCGGTTGTATTCTCTTCCCTTGTTATTTCCTTTATCATTATTATCATTGGTGGTAGCAGTAGTGATCTGTGTAATACCTTAGTTACTAAACTGTTCTTATCTCAACCCGTGGGAGTTGCATTCTTTGGATTCTCCCGGGGTGGGGGTGGGGGGTGGAAGGGCGGGGAGTGAACTAATGGCTGCGTGGTTCTGAGTTGCCAGCTGTGCTTAAACCAATACAGTGTGAAAAACTGAGTGCTGTTTAATGATAGCTATCTAATCTTTGGTTTTTTTTCTTTTGAAGTTGATTCACTTCACATTCTTCTAGGGGTATTTCTGTGAAGCTCCAGATGCATGGAGAACACAGTCACTTTTTTACAGTGTCATTTCTTAGTAGAAGCAGAACCATCAGATAGCAATGTTCTGAATCATTTTGAGGGAGAAAACAAACTGGGTTCTCTGTGTGGGGAAAATGGGAGTATAAATTTCTGTCTAAGTCTCCTGTTTGAGTTCGTACTAGCTGCTTGCTGGAATTGCACAGGGAGTTTAGTCCTGTGGTGTTGGTGCATGGTACAGTGAAGGTGTAAACTCCGTGTAATAGAATCACAGAATAGTTAGGATTGGAAAGGACCTTAAGATCATCTAGTTCCAACCCCCCTGCCATGGGCAGGGACACCTCACACTAAACCATGTCACCCAAGGCTCTGTCCAACCTGATCTTGAACACTGCCAGGGATGGAGCTTTCACAACTTCCCTGGGCAACCCGTTCCAGTGCCTCCCCATCCTCACAGTAAAGAATTTCCTCCCTATATCCAGTCTGAACTTCCCCTGTTTAAGTTTTAACCCATCGCCCCTTGTCCTATCACTACAGTCCCTAATGAAGAGTCTGTCCCCAGCATCTTTATAGGCCCCCTTCAGATACTGGAAGGCTGCTATGAGGTCTCCACGCAGCCTTCTCTTCTCCAGGCTGAACAGCCCCAACTTTCTCAGCCTGTCTTCATATGGGTGTATGTATAGCTGTATTAATTGTTTTCAAGCTGTCATATATGAAATAGGTAAAGGTGTGGTAAAAAAATGAGAGTTGTCACTTCATGCCTTCACCTGAAGGACAGTGAAATGTAAACAGTCTGGCTTCTGATGCATTTCTGATTGGTTTCTTGAGCCCTAACTTTCTTTTTTTGTTTGTTTTTGTTTGTTTGTTTGTTTGTTTGTTTGTTTTTTTAATTTTTATTTACTTCCCTCCCAGCTGAGTATTGAGCAGGCCCAGGCTGTGGCAGAGCAGGTTGAGATGAAAGCGAAGGTGGTACAGTCTGAAGTCAAAGTAGTGACTACTAGACATAAGAAGGCCTTGGAAGAGCGGGAGTGTGAACTGCTCTGGAAGGTAGGCACCTTACATTTGTTATGTGAACTGCTGACATGTACCTTCTCAAAATTGAAAGCATGGTTTTTAACTAGTGCATGGCTAGATTCCTCCAAAGGAACAGTGAATTGAAACACTGTGGTTTACTCTGAGCTCATTTTGCTGTAGGTAGGATGCTGGATTCTGGCCTTGGTTGGTTTTGTGCTGTAGATATTTCTTATCTGAGAAACTGGCTGCATAAGGACTGCTGTATGCTCAGTCCCACAAGCAGTGTTGGCACTCCCTCTGCCTCATATCTTGGTACTGACCTGAGAGAGAAGACATCACCTTTAAACACATTATTTAAAGAGTGTCTTTAAAACCTCTTTAATGTTGCTGTAGAACTAGTATATGGGTTTTCTTAATGATCCACTTCTCATAAACAAAGGAAAGGAGTCAAGCTCTTATGTGCTGAGTCCTGTTTAGAAAGACTGATAGAAATTCTGCAAGACTTCCATTGTTCCCACACCTAAAAAACTATTCTCAAAGCAGTGTCCCTCTCCAGCCAGGAGTGCTTTGTTGTAGGTGCCAGTGGCAAGGTAAAAACTGTACTTTTTATAGTTACTGTACTTCTAATGCTGCTTTTTCTGAGGTACTTAGATTGAGGGACACGAGTTCACTTTCCACTGTTAGCCTTCCCCAGGAAGCTTGGCAGCTATCTCTTGAGGTATTCCTAGTGAAAAGGAAGAGCTGCCCCTGTGCAGTTTGTATCTTGAGAGGCTGCATAAATCCGCTTTAGTGGAATATCTGCACTGAGAGCAAGTTCTCTTCAGTTTATATAAAACATTAAGAAGGAAACTTGGTTGTGGTGATAAACCATTCTAGCAAAAACAGCTGAGTATATTAAGCCTTCATGTGAAGCATGTTAGTGAATAGTTTTGAGTACCAAAGATGAGGCCAGATTAAGTTGTGATTTAAGATTAAATCTCTTTTGGAAATGTGTTGGAGGAAGCATTTGTTTCCTTTTTATTTTGCATTCTGATGCATGCCTTAACCCTAAGTGAAATAGCATGTTTGTACATTTGTTATCTAGTCAGTGTATAACCAAGCAGTCATCAGTGAGCCGTCCCTCCTTAAAACACATTTCTGGTATTGTACTGCAGCCAAGCAGGAAAAGTATTTTTGTAACAATAAAGCAATTTCATATTTGGTTAGTTTTACACAGCAGGTGTCTTTGCCAGATGGTCTAAAGTGGTTTTTCACAAGTGAAGATATACACAGGCCTATATAAAATAGTTATAAGCAAACCGTTTTTGGTTCGGCTTCAGACCCCCCAGGTGGGGACTGGTAGTGGCCTTCTGTCATTTGAAATGACATGATAAAGTTTCCTGTTATAAAGCACTAGCTCAGCATAACTGCCCCAATTTGCAGTAAAATATTAAACTGATTGGACCCCACAAATCTCTGGAGATATGTCTGGTATTGTCCAGTCACATGAACACAGCCCTGACAGGTAGGGGAATGGCAAGAGCCCCTGTGCAGTAGCTGATGCTGACTCATATCCTTAGCTTTATGTGATAGCAGCCTACCTTCTGAAATTGGCCTCAGTTCTGGTTAGAGAAGTCTCAGTCTCTGCTCTTCCTTGAGAGCCTGCCTGTCCCCCCTGGAGTCTAAGTAAGATGTACCTTTGGATGATCTGTCAAGTACCTTGTGATTAGAATAGCATTTGGGGAAGCAAAACACTGTTAGTAAGCAGGTGACTTTCTTTCAAATGGCACTCCAGCAGATCATGCAGAGTAAGAATGCATGATGTGGGCTGGAGGGTGGGAGAGATTAATCCTGAATTTGGATAAATAATACCTTTCCCTTATTTCTGCTTGTCTGCAGTATGGCTTTTAGAGTCCTGTCCCGCAGTTGTGCGTCACAACACTGAAACAACTGCACAACCAGTTTTTATGTAGAAGGGTGACATTATGGAATGTTTGCATTATGGGTTGTCTTTCCTGGTGTAAATGTGCTTTTCTCTCCCTCCTTGTCCCCTGTAAGGTGGAAAAGATTCGTCAAGTCAAGGCTAAGTCCCTCTACTTGCAAGTCGAGAAGTTACGTCAGAACCTAAATAAGTTGGACAACACCATTAGTGCTGTTCAGCAGGTCCTGGAGGAAGGCCGTACTATGGATATTCTCCTGGCTCGGGACCGCATGCTGGCTCAGGTACAGGAACTGAAGAATGTGAGAGGCCTTCTCCAGCCACAGGAAGATGACAGGATCATGTTCACTCCCCCTGACCAGGCATTGTATATGGCCATTAAATCAATGGGATTTGTCAGCAGTGGGGCTTTTGCTCCTCTGACCAAAGCCACTGGGGAAGGCCTCAAGCGTGCACTGCAGGGCAAAGTGGCCTCTTTCACAGTGATAGGCTATGACCATGATGGTGAGCCTCGCCTCTCAGGAGGTGACATGATCTCTGTGGTGGTGATGGGCCCAGATGGAAACCTCTTTGGGGCAGATGTCAGTGACCAGCAGAATGGAACCTACCTGGTCAGCTACCGTCCACAGCTGGAGGGGGAGCACCTGGTGTCCGTGATGATGTGCAACCAACACATTGAGAGCAGCCCTTTCAAAGTTGTGGTGAAATCTGGGCGCAGCTACATCGGCATTGGACTGCCGGGGCTGTCCTTTGGCAGTGAGGGAGACAGCGATGGCAAGCTCTGCCGCCCCTGGGGAGTTAGCGTAGACAAAGAAGGCTACATCATTGTTGCTGACCGGAGTAATAACCGTGTCCAAGTGTTCAAACCATGTGGGACCTTCCACCACAAGTTTGGCACACTGGGCTCCCGGCCAGGCCAGTTCGATCGCCCTGCCGGTGTGGCCTGCGACATCTCGCGTCGCATCATTGTAGCTGACAAGGACAATCATCGCATCCAGATCTTCACGTTCGAGGGGCAGTTCATTCTGAAGTTTGGGGAAAAAGGAACAAAGAATGGGCAATTCAATTACCCATGGGATGTGGCTGTCAACGCAGAGGGCAAGATCCTGGTCTCTGATACAAGGAACCATCGTGTTCAGCTATTCGGGCCAGATGGTGTGTTTCTGAACAAGTATGGCTTTGAAGGGGCACTCTGGAAGCACTTTGATTCCCCCCGAGGTGTGACTTTCAATCACGAGGGCCACTTGGTAGTAACAGACTTCAACAACCATCGCCTTCTGGTCATCCATCCGGATTGCCAGTCGGCACGCTTCCTGGGCTCGGAGGGCACTGGGAATGGCCAGTTTCTGCGCCCACAGGGAGTGGCAGTGGATCAAGAGGGGCGCATCATCGTGGCTGACTCCAGGAACCACCGGGTGCAGATATTTGAGTCAAATGGCAGCTTTTTATGCAAGTTTGGTACTCAGGGAAGTGGCTTTGGTCAGATGGACCGTCCTTCAGGTATAGCTGTCACCCCTGATGGCATGATTGTTGTGGTCGATTTTGGAAACAATCGAATTCTCATCTTCTAATCGGTGTTTGAATTAGGAAGAAACTGTCTCAGGGAAATTCTTCTAAGAAAAAAAAAGAAATACAACGTTAATTCAAACCTACCTCATCTTTAATTTTTTTTACAGATGAATGTACTTATCTTCTGTGCAGGGAGTGAGCCTGTGAAGTTTAAATTCTATCTACCTCATTGTCCTCCCTTCCCTCCCTGGTTTCTTGCCCTTGTCCCCATCCCCACACACTCACAGTTCAGAATGTTTTACCTCTTTTTTTCAACCCCCAATGGGGTTTCATGCACAAACAAGTGTTGCTGTGCACATTAGGTGGTTTGTGTGGCGGGTTCTGTAGACAAAGCCAAAAAAGGCTCTATGTAACTTTTTTAATGGAGAAAATGGTAGTAGGTGTTTGTAGAGAATTTGTGTTCTTGACCATATTGCAGTTCTTGGGGGGGGGGGACGGGACGGGGACACTTTTGTTTTGTTTGATTGCTGCTGCAGCAGAGAACTTTATCCTGTTCTCCTTTTTATACCTCAGTGTGTTTGATTTATCGGTGAGCACAGCATCTTGCTCCCAGATGACTTGGAACATTTTGTGACAGTGAGTGGGATTCACTCGCTGGGAAGAGCAAGTTTGTATTATTATTGGGTTTTGTCATTTCTGTGTGTTTTTTTCTGAAACACAGTAATCCGACAGCACAAATTGAAGCTGAAGAAAATGCACAAAAATTCTTTAAGTTTAAACCAAATTGTTCATTTTAATGGTTTGGTGCGGTTGTTGTAAAGTTTAGGAGAAAAGCAAGGCTTCCTTTAATGTACCCCATCAGTTAGTAGTTCTTTTTTTTTTTTTTTTTTTTTTTTTTTTTTACCCTTTTAACCTGAAAGCTTAAGTGAGTTTAAAAGTTACTGTGTATTTTATCATTCCACTTAATCTGGGTAGCAGAAGAGGATGCAAGGAGCATTGAAGCAGGGAAAATCAAACCCTTTTGATTTAATTTCTTGTTAAATGACTAGGTTTTTTTTTTTTTTTTAGCCCCTCCCTATAGAAAGACTTTAAGAGAATGATGTTTGGATTTGCTAGAACAGAAGTGATACCTTTTTCCAAAAGTAAGAAATCAGCATAGCTTTGGAGATTCAGGGTGTGTTTTGGAGAAGTCAGCAAGTTTTTTGTGTGTGTTTAAAGAGGATTGCAGTAACTGTCAATGACAAAAGTTTTTGGGGTTTGTTTTTTGTGGTTTTTTTTTGTTGTTTTTTTTTTTTTTTTCATCTGGCTTCCCCAAAGAGCTGGACTGAAAAATTCAGGAAGGTCTGCTGTAGTTTTTAAGGTCCGGTGGAGTTGTAGCTCCATGTAACTCTTGCTACAGATCCTAGTGAAAAGTTACCAGTACCAGCATAAGGCAAACTGCGTCAAGATGAAACCTCACTGTGTTTTTTCCAGGGCAGTACCAAAGAATTTTGTGTAAAATAAACGTATGTGATCCTTTAAAGCTTGGAGGCAGGAGGAAGTTGGCCTTTTCAGGGATATAAAAATAGCTTTTTGGAGAAGCAGAAACATCTGGGGAGAATAGAGATCTCTCTAGCAAAATGTGACTGAGTCCCTGGAAGTATTTTTGTATTCTTCAGTGTCTCACTTTCCAGTTTAGCTGTTGCTTCATGCTCTGCATAAGGCCTTTGGTGGCAATTAGCAATGGTTAAAGTAGGGAACAGAGGGCTTTTCCATGTCTCTGCAATGGAAAAATTCATGTATCAGTACTCTTAAGCTTGGAAATGCCATGGGATTTACCTTACTGCTTGCAAGAGATCATGTCTGAAACGTCAATGTGGTTGTTACCAAAAAGTCCAAAAAGCCTTAACCATCCTTCAAGAAAAGGGTTCATCTCTGCCAGCCACCATGCACAAAAGTGACCTGAGATTGAACGGCTCTTTACAAGTTTGTGAGAAATCACAAGGTGCACTTTCCTTCTTGCTGCTTTTCCCCTCTGAGGAGTGTTAACTTTCTGGCCTTTGTAGAAATCCCCATGATGTGTGCAGACAGATGGCTGCCGTAGAGGAGGCTTAAACTAAAGGACCAGAAAGAAATGGACAGATTCATGAGATGGCATAACCTCTTTTGAAAGAAGGGTGAGGAAAGAACACCTAACTTCAGTGAGATAAAATAACTGTGCTGTCTTTAAGCCAAAGCCTCAAGGAAGCAAGCTCTTCAAAGCAGTGTGTTTCAGTTAGGCTTAATCTTAGGATAACATAGTTTAAAAATAGTCTTTAAAGGATAATCTTTATACAGATGTCTGTCATTAAATTGCTGTAGCCACTCCAAAATATGGGTATGAGAGAAAACTAGTTTACCTTCAACTTTGTCAAGTTCTGCTTGTATACACGCCTCGCTTCTTGGGAGTGACCTACAGTTGTGACAGATATCCACACTTGTCTTGTATTATTCAGTCCAAGAATGGTATTCAGCTTGGGCTGTAAAAACCTAATAGCCTGAAAGATATAGATACCAAAGAAAACTGGTTTAAAAAGCTTTAACGTTTAGTTTGGAGTGTCCTTGCATTTATCCTATCATGTCTTAATAGAAATGCCAGGTCTTTTGATACCTTTGCCAGTGTGGCTGACAGTGTTAAAGTGCACTAGAAATATTCTTGTGCTTTAATGCTTGTTGGGTTCCCCCTTCTCTGGGGCTAGAAGGGAGGTGTTTTTTTAACTAAAGAAGTTAAGTATGCATTCAGGATTATGTTGAACTGCAGAAACCTTCTTGCCCCTCTGCAGGCTGCACCACATAGAAGGTGACAGACACTGAAGTTGCCTTTTGCTATTTTGTATGGAGCCATTGCACAAATCCCCAGTCCAGCTCTGTCAGGAAGCAGAATGACTAACTCTAAGTTGCTGTCTATTTAATCCAGTGTGATTTGCTTACAGACCAAACCTCAAGTGTTCGACCTCACATCTTGGGGAGCTTTTTCGTTTTAAAAACAAGACTATTTAGCTTTCCCCAAATAATTCCTTATCTTTGTCATAGATAGTGCTAAGCACACTTGGTCTCATTGAAAAGTGGTAGTGTAGCTTATAAAATGGTGTGTTTTATATGCAATGAAAATAAGTAGCGGTGATATACAATGCCAACATAAGATGCCTCATAGGGGCTTTTAAAAAGTAATACTTATTTAAATGACATTCAAACCTTGCTCTTTTTTCCATGCATGTTCTCAGGTTAATAGCCCAGTATCATAACATACATAGCCCAGTATCATAACATATATACTTACATGCAGGGAGAAAAAGCAAGGCTTTGAGGCTGGATTTCAAACTGAACAAGCATTCAGAGTAATCTTAATAGTGGAAATGACCTGGAGAAGGGAGAGGTAAGCATGTGCTTCTTTCCCTTAGCTCTGACACTGGGGAACAACAGATTTGAGTGACAGAGCTGCCTACTGAACTCCCAAAGGAATTTCACTATGCCAGGTTAAACCAGTAGCTCTCAGTAAACTTCCTCAGTCAGGATAGCTGCTTTGGGTTCAGCCTGTGAAGCCATCTTGTCCTTTCTCAGAACTATTTGAGAAGGCACTTCAGTAGCCAACTGAAGCAGACTCAGTACTTGGTAATGCAGGTCCTTCAGATAATACACTTTTTTTCATTTAGTATCTATTAAATACAGCTGATTTAGGTCAGCCCATAAGCCTTAAACTTGTAAAGAAAGTGAAGGAAGGCAACACCTGAAAACTGTCATTAGTTAGCATATTGGGGCCAGATGTAATCAGCTTGGGAGAAAATACAAGGCATGTGGATGTGGCATTCCCTTGGAATTGCAGGTAAATGGGTCCAGTTTATTACATTACAGTTAAACCAGTATTAATTTCTGAAGAGAGCAGGCTTCTTGGCTTATCTTGCCCCAACTGTGATCATAAGATTTCTTTGTTCAGTTCTGGTTTAAAAGAAGTAAATTGTGCCAAAGTGTTTTATTATTTTTGAAGGAGTGTAAGCCAAATGGTGCCAAAAGGTAATAGGGTATTTAGAAGTAGAGATATTTAGACAAACAGTTTGGAGCTGTATAAAAAAACGAACACTGGTACTTGTGTTAGACAAATATTGTACCTTTGGTCTTTGAGTCCTTGGGAGTTTGAAACCTAGTTTGGTACAAAATGCACAACTAGAGATGCCACTATTTTCTTGAAGTTCTACCTCACTTTGCAGAAGTAAATCATCTACCTCAATTTAGCATCAGACAGATTTGAGAAATTATGGAGAATCTGCCTGGGGGAAGGATTCATCCTGCCTGTTGGACAAGCATTTCAGTTTAAACAGAGATACTAAGTGTGTACAATGTGGTAACTGCTTTTGTTTGCTTTTGTTTTTGCTGCCTGCCCATGGAAACTTTAAGCTGTCCTTGCTAGAGATGATCTGTAAATAAACCCAGGTGAACTAGAGTGAGATACCAAAACACTTTGAGTTTGTTCTGTTTTCACTACAAAGTATGGAAATGTAAACTTTTTCAGTATTATGACACTACTGGCTGATGTGATGCACACTTCATGGTCATTTGCAGTGTTCTAATGTCCATAAGGCCTTTAGGTCTTCTCTCTACAAGAGAAAAACTTTGCATGCCTACAACTATGTCCTGTTCGGAAAGACGAACATTCTGAGCGCTGTAAACACAAATGCGATACCAAATGCTTGAAGGGAATAAGATCCTAATTATTTTATTTTTATTTTATTTTGACCTGGTGATTGTATTAGCAGCTTTCTTGACTCAATGTGATTTTTTCCACCATGACAAAGCAACCAGGTTCCTGTTCCTGGAGGGCAGTTCAGGTTCATTCTCAGGAAGGCAGTTTAAAACCAGTATGGTGGGGTTTTATGCAACTTGAATAGTGACATGCGATGTGCCCCTTGTTTTACCTGTGAAGTTGCAGAAGCACATTTTCAGATTACTATGTTGACAAAACTTTTTTTTCCTCCCCTGCTCATACTGGGGGGTGACAGCAGTGGGTACAGGAGACCCCTAGTAATGATAGGCTGCGTTGGTTTTGGTAAATGTTCTGGTGGAAAATGTACGTTGATGTCTCTAAGTGATCTTACGGGTGAACGAGCCAGACTGGCATCTTGTTCCATCATTTTTTAACCAATAATGGTTCTAAAAATGCTTTGTGTACCTGCATGGTCTTAGACCTTCTATTAATGATTGTATCAACTTACAAACTCAGGTAGATAATTTTTTTAAGCTCTTTTCATAGAGCCTTACTGACTGAATGTTAAGTGTCTGTGTAGTGATGTAGTTAAGTAACTTCTCCTTTTGAACTACCAGACTAGATTAAAAAAGAAAAATAAGTCCTTTTATAGGTTTGTAGAGTACTCTTCAGCCAATGTAGTAGTTTTTCCTTCACAGGGAGAGATGTCTGTTTCTGGGTTTTGTTTTTAGTTCCTTTGTTAAAATGACTAAAGAGTTTTTAAATAGTTCGTAAGGTGTGTGTAGTCACCTGAGTTGGTGGGGGTTTCTTACTGTGACTCTTGTTTGTACTGTGCATTACCTGTCATGTGCTGCCTGGTTCGTGCACAATTCATTGGAGTAGTGAGGGTGAAGTTTCAGTCAAACAGATTGGCAGCCTCCAACAAAACTGGGGTCATCTACACGCAACCAGTGTTATTGCATGTTCCTCTTACCATGTAATTGTGGATGTATGGCCTTATCTTACAAAGCTTCATTACCACTCTCTGAGCAGTGTTGCCTCAGTGCAGGTTTGCATCAGGACCTGAAAGGACTTGATCAGTCCGTAGATGTTTGGCATCTGGAGCCGATTTGGTTTTGTAGTTCCCTCTTCTGTTGCAGTTGTTTCTTTCCTACTGTAGTGATTGATGCTGTTGCTCTCCTAATGATAATGTCTCAGCAGCACAGGTAGCGTTCTGCTTTTAATGAGCTGCTCAGAGCTTTTTTATCATAATTGATAATGAGACTGGCAGTGACAAGAACTTACATGCTCCAAAAAAGGCATCAATGACATTACTACTTGGATAAAAAGCGACATGATTTTCAGATGCTGAGCATGACAGGTTATGTGCAAACTTTTACATAGAGTAAGCAAAAATGTTAGAACCCTTGTGTTAATGGAGGCTTCTGAATGTATCTTTGTGGTCCATAGGGAAGGCTGAAGGATGTAGCAAGGAGATGATGTATCAGCTACTGGCAGCCTTAAAACAAAGTCAGTGTCTCTCTGGACTTTAAAATGTTCCTATGCAGTTTATTTTATTTTTGTTTAATCAAATAAATGTGAGGAGTTTTTTTCCTGGCAAACCTCTGTGTGTGTGTGTGTGTGTGTGTGTTTCTGTATTGCCCAGGCTAACCTTTCTGTCGGGATGCACTAAAGAAAACACTTGTCTCAACCTGAAACTGGCTTCCTCTGGATGAGGGCTACTGGAAACTTAACAGAGGCACCTGCTTTGAGAGGAGAAAGGAGGAGAAATGGTGATGTATGAAATAGAAAAATCAACACACAGTGTTTTGATGATTTGGTCAAGCTCTGAGTGTCTGGTCTATTAAAAACCCAGCCTCACTGTCACAACTGGGGGAAATGGATTTGATACTGAGCTCACCACTTGTACTCCATGCAGTTTTTCTAGGCTTATGTGATATCTTGCTGAGCTAAAAAGCTGCTACTTTGGAAAAGGTGAGAAGACATGGTGAGCAGGGTAAGAAGATGGCTTGAGAGAATGAAGGTTACTGACTGAATTTCCACCATGGGTAGCAACTGAGGGAAAAGGCAAAGTGGACTGTGAGAGGAGACAGGCTGGCCCTTAACTGCTTCCTTTCTGGATGTGTTCTGACATCACACACACACACACACACACACACACACACCCTGCTTCTGTTATGCACCCCGCAGCTGAATGTCAGCACCACTGCTCACTCCTCTCTAGAAGTGCTGCAGCCCGAGGGTGAGAAAGAAAGGAAACTACAGTGATGCTGTGGTCAGTGCAACAGGCTTTGTCATGAGGGAGCTGGGCTGAGTGCTCCTATTCCCATGCAAATACAGTTGCCATGAGATGTGGGATATCTGGGGAACAACACCTGCATCCATCCTTCCTGGAGCCCTGAGGGGAGCTGAGCATTGCTGGGACTCAGTAATTTCTGCATGTGAATGCCCTGCATTCCGGGACAGGGGGGGAGGGTAGAGAGGAATTTTCTCTATTCAGGGCCTGATCACACAGGGAGCATCTTTAACCTTTTTGTGTTTAATCAGTCAATCTACTCTGGCTTGAGGGATGTATTGGCTCTATTCTTCCCCTTCAGAAAGGTGATCTCTATGTACTTTTTTTCCATATTTCTTTTAAATTCTTACTATTTCTAAACTGCCTCTACATGAGGCCAGAGTCAGTGCTACCTCTTGCAGTGAGAGAAAAGCTATTGGAAAAGCTATTGAAAAAGCTACATGGGCATTACTCTGAAAGCCTTCAAAAGCAGAGAAACTAACAGAGGAGAAGATAGTAGCAGGTCTCGAGCTTCTTGCTGAAAGGACACCCACTTGTACATTGTTTAATACACTTTTCTGTCACTTGTGGCTTGTTTGGTCAAGCTCCTGGGGACAAATCCAGGACTGTCCCACAGGCTTCCTCTCCTGAGCAAAGCTGCACTACCTAATGCTCAAGTTACTGTGAGTAGACTTAGGGCCCTGCAGCCTAAACGGCTGCTTGGAAAAGTGCCCTTCCTGGTGATGGCTGGAGGCAAAGTACACTGCCAGCAGCACAGGGAGATAAGGTATTACCCCAGCTCTACCCTGGAGGTTATCTGGGCAAAGTCAAAGAGTAGCTGAAATGGTACAAACTATCTGGGGAGAGGAAGTGAGGAGAGATGCTACCCTCCATGCTGGGCTCAGGTTAGCTGGACTATGTCTCAAGGCACGATCACTTCTCTCTTTTCCTATGCTCATTCACCATAAGCAATTAGCAGGGCCTTGGTTATGCTCCTATGTTGGAGCCTCTTGGTTCAAGCAAAAGGAAGAAAATGCTTTTGGAAGAGGTATTATTCTAAAGTAAAAACCGCATTGAAAAAGAAAAAAAAACCAACCAGACCTAAACGCAAATCCTGTTTCTTACAGCTGTTGTACCTGCACCATTACACCTTCCTTCAGGGCAAAGGAAACCCCAGGAGAATTAAAAAATAAAACCCAACACAAAACTGATAACCCTCATGTTGCTGAAGCAACAGTGTTTCCCAGCACTGGTCGCTTAGGAGCACGTACTGCCTGCTGCCTGTTGTCCTTCACCCCTATGGCCTTGCTCTGCTGGCAAAGGCTGAGCAGCTGCACTGAGTTTTGTCCTTGCTGACCAGTCACCTCTTGCACCTTTCCCTTTTTGGGAACCTGCATTTTGGTTCTTTCCATTGAGCTGAAGAGGCAGAAGCAGGCAGAGCCCCTGGGCTTTGTGGGAGCAGTCCATGGCCTGCAGCCTATAAGCAGCAGAAGGGGTCACTTACCAACCAGCTCACTAGCCCCACTCACCACTTTAGAAGACAATAGAAGGAAACCTGGCCCGATGCTTACACCAGCATGCTCTCCTGCACCTATGATTAAGCCACAACAAGGACCATACTCCTACATGCGTCAGGGAAGTGGAGCATAGCTCTGTTAACTTAGAGCCTCTTTGAGGAATACAAACTCATAGCTCATGTGTGTCAAAACACAGCAGCCAACACGACTAGGTAAATGGTACTCCTTCCTGTCACTTCCTTCCAGTCTCTTTGAAAAGTGCTGAATTACATGCTTGGTTAGCTGCTTTGTATTGGTAAGTAAACTGCCACTCACATTCAAAACCGATACCAACCTTCCTTTAAGGAAACACCTCCAAGCCTGCCTTTTTGTTTCCATGTTTTATTAAAAATTTACATAAATGAACACACTCCACCAATTGGGGTATGCAGGTGTCATAGGTTAAAAAACTATACAAAATCCCAAGTCCTGGTGGGCAGGGCAGCTGGAGGTTGAAACCTCATTTCCTTTGAACAGTGGTAAAGGCTGGCATCTGAATAGGCTGGATGGAGTGCACCAGCTGAAAAACAGGCTTCTTCCGCATGTCCGAGAGTGTCTTCACAGAAGGGAGAAGCTGGTTTCTCTTGATGATCTGCAGTGCCAGCTGTGTGTTACCTACAAGACAACTGCTGATTAAAGAAAGCCCCAACAAAGCCGAGTGCGTTTGTATGACCCATAAATCACTGTTTTCAGAACAGAGCCCTTGGCCCAGGCCACATACAGTGGTAGTCTTCCTATTCAGTGAAATGGTGACATGGACATGAAAAGCATTAGACATTTAATTTGAAAAGATAGTATTGCTTGGTTCTGCCTACTCTTAGTGAAGACATCACCTCACATCTGGAAGATGCCAGAGCACCTTCTAAATTCCTGAAGGGCACCTCTCCCATTCACACAGCAAGACTCTAGATCTCACACAAAATGCCCCCACAATGTGATGTTATAGACAGTAATGCAAATGTCAAGAGGGTTTCTACAACATGCTTTTAAAATAATCTGATTTTCAATTGTATGCACAGCCCATCAAATAAACACCAATGTAAATAGAAAACTTACTTTTTGTTAAACCTTAAAACTCTAAGGGAAAACCTGTTAGTCTGAAAAGAAAGAACATTTCTCCCTCTTATCAAGTACTTCCTTTCACTAAAGTTTTTGTTTCAGAAGAGATACAGTGTTCTGTTGCCATTTATAGAACAAAAAAGAATGCCTGTAGCTCTGTTTGATTATATATTTTCAAAGGAGAGATGTAAATCCCACTTTCTGCTCTCTTCTGCTCTGTACTACTTTGTTGCAGAAACAAAGGTTTCCAAAATTCCGACTTGGAAATACCTCTGTAAGAAAGGCGTTGTAGAAGTCTCAATTCTGATTACAAATGCTCGAGTGCACTGCTTGCCTGCAATGCGAGACAACTGAAGGGAAACAAGCACACTGAACATTTCATAGCATGAGGACATTAAGCACCAAGGGGCACAGGTCCACAACCATGACAGTGTAGCACAGCTGCACTAGTCTGCTCATGCTGCAGAACTGAAGTGCAGTCTTTCCAGTTCCCCATTATATAGTTTGGGTTTTTCTTCCATGCAAACACAGTGAACCTTCAAAAAGAAGGAAGGGTTCCAGAAGAGAGAGTTATGAATATTGCAAGCTTCACTGCAGTACTTCCTACACAGGCTTTGGCATGGCTTCCTTGGGAAACCTGGTTTGCAGTTGTCTTAATGAAAAGCCTTTCAAACCCTCTTTATAGTATAAACCTCATCACAGGTTTACAGAGACTATCCAAGATGGCTGATTCCTGCACAAGGATTCCTGCAAAAAGCATAGAAGCTTTCAGCTCTGAAGATGAATGTTTAGGAAGTCAAGACCAGGATGGCAATAAACTATGGAATTGAGGGTGTGGATACAGGGATCCATAGCAGTGTAAAATGAAGATGATAGGACCTAAAGGGTGTCATTCAAAATGTCACAGCTCTATAAAGACTAGGAATGACCATTACTGCCCACCTTCCCTTGTATCCTATGTCCAGGTTGGTAGAACATTCCCAAACTTACTTACCGTTCTGCAATTCAAGATACACAGCCAGCAGAATAGCCTCCGGAGGGATCTCTTTGGGGTGGATCAGAGAAGCAGCCTTATTGAAAAAGAAAAGGATGGGGAGAAAAAGTGCTTGAGAAACATCCAGCTTAAAGAAAGTGCCCCTTGACAAGATTGTTTACCACCATCTGAGCTAACAAAAACACGTAACAAATCCTAAACTAAAGACTTTTTCAAACTAATACACTCCAGCACATTTACGCATGCAAGGAGAGAAGAAAATATTGTTTTACACTAGTTAGCAGGACCATCTGCTATATGTTCATGTTAATACGAATCTGTAATTCTGTCATGGTTTAAGCTCAGTCGCTCCTAGAGGGATGGGGAGGAGAATCGAAAGAATGTAACTCCCATGACTTGAGATAAGAACAGTTCAGTAACTAAGGTGTAACACAAATCACTACTGCTACCACCAATAATAATAATGATAAGGGAAAATAACAAGGGAAGAGAACACAACCGCTCCAACCGCTCACCACCCACCAACCGCTACCCAGTCTGACCGAGCAGTGATCTAGCCTTTCTGGGTAACTGCCCCCAGTTTATATACTGGGCATGATGTATTGTGCTATGGAATACCTCTCTGGTCAGTTTGGGTCAGGTGTCCTGTCTCTGCTTCCTCCCAGCTTCCCCCCCCCCCCCCCCCCGAGCATGAGCCTCAGAAAGTCCTTGGTCAGAGTAAACATTTGAGCAGTAACTAAAAACGTTGGTGTTATCAGTGTTGTTCACAGGCAAAAAGTCAAAACCACAGCACTGCACCAGCTACTAAGAAGGAGAAAAATGACTGCTACTGCTGAACCCAGGACAAATTCCTAGGCCAATCTATTGTGGTTTCCTGGTGAGATGACAGGTGAAGAAAGTAACCTCCACTTCTCCAAAGTTCAGAATACAAAGTTAACAGGGATTAATCATTAGCTTTCCATATATAAATATTTTTGGCTACAAAGTCAAATTCATTAATTTATTGCAGATGCAGACACCTGCTATACTCTACATCCACAGGTGGCCTTACACTCCTTTGGGCTTTACACATGCTGCAGAGGCCAAACACAGACACCTGCCCAATCCTAAGAAGTCTTGGGAGAAAAAAAAACGAAGACAACTCCCTTAAACAGTTGAGAACCTCAATGAATTTGAATCTGTTCACTACACAACTACTGTGAAGTAATTTGGAAGACTCTTGTATCTCAACAAATCATTTGAGTAGTCTTTCCTGACAGACAGGAATGGCTACAAAAAGAGACAAACAAACATCATCACTGAAAAAGATGGTCCCAGCCATAAGAAAGACCAAATGAGCCAGGCTAAGTGAAGACAGAGTTTCAAAAGCAGTGCTTGAGAACTCTTTGGACAAAAGGCAGGCAAGGAACATATCTCCAGTGCACTGCAGTATGTTCTCACAGTCCTAAAGTTAATACCTTAGATGGTGAGTTATAACTGATAAGAGAGAAGTAAACTCAAGGCCCTCAAGAACTTCCTCCTCTGAAATATAACAATCACTAGTAAGCCATTAAAAAGAAAGAACAACACACAGACACACAAACAAACTTGGAAAAAGTGAAACGGCTTCCTAGTCATATTCCACTCTTTTGATACAGCCTAGAAGAAAAAGTGCTTCCCATAGTGGTACTGAACTATTTACACATGAAGAAATTTGGATTCCTTAATTTTACGTTACTAATAGAGATCGGTTCATAAAGACAGAAGAGAACCACCATCTCAGCAAAGTCTGCAAATAGGCCTAGGCTATGGAATCACCAGGATTTGCTGTGATCTAAATGGCACTTTGAAAAAAGCACATTTGTCCCCAAAGCTATCTTGAGATTTGTTTTTCATACCTGATGAAGACACTTTCGAGCTTTGTCATATTCACTCCTCAAGCAGTAAGCACTTCCAAGGTTAAATAACATCATTGTTCGTGCAGATGTGATTGAACTGGGGTAACACTGTGGGGTCTGCTTGCTAGCTGCAATTAAAGAAAAAGAAACTACATTTTTATTCCAAACTGGCCAAGTAACTTCCTGTACACTATGCAGTGTCTGGTACTTACAAGATTCCATTGTCTCATTTTCTCCTTTGTCTGACCCTGCAAAGAAAAAAGAAACACAAACCCCATCATGTTCTGTGAGGTTTTTTAAAGCTTATTACAAAAAGAACACAAAGATACAAATTTAATTCTTTCTTCACAGTCTGGCATTAAAGACGGAAATTATATCAGTTTGCTCAAGAATTCATGTCACTTAAGATGTCGCAATCATCACTGTATTTGCATATACGAAGTTAACAGCAGGAAAGCAACGGAAAGCATAACTAGTTCTAACGAAGTGTGGGTTCATTAACCTTGATCCTGCTCATTTGAAGAGATCCCAAGGGAAACATCAGTGACATTCTCCGGGTTCAAATGAGTGATGGCATCAGATATTCTGTCTAAAGAGATGAGAGCTTCTGCTGCATACAAATGCCCAAGAAACCTGCAACAGCAAAGGGTTAGGTACAAATATCAGTTTAACAAGCCCCAGTTTGTTATGTAGGACAAACTGAACGCAGATTTTAATGTGAGTACATGAAAACTATTACTTGAAACACCTGAGCGGAAGTTAGCTTGCTTAGAAAGTATTGTCACAATACCCAGTTCTGCCAGTTACTGCTTTTAGGTGTTAATGTTGTTAAAAACATCTGCACCTGAGTTACGACCATTCTTGCCCAGGAATTGCCAGTCCAGCAAGACAGTGCCTTGGTATGGCTTTATCTCAGAGAATTAAAAAATGAATCCTTATAAAAACACCCCAGGATATGGATACTTGTATAATTTAAGGTGTTAAGTGACCTTCCATTCAATAAAAATCAAATAAAGTCTCTGATAATAGCTACATTTCTAAGAACAGCAACTATACAGGCCTGTCCACAGGGCACAAACACCTTTCCAACTGCAGGTTTTGCAAATTATTTAAGCAAGTCTAATGTTTGACACTTGTAGGTCAGCTCAGCTACTCAGTAGCTTTCTCTTTCAATTTTGGATCAGAAGAAATCCTGTCAATCAAGAGCATAGTTTGCAAATATTTAATCTGAAACAAAAGTTGAGCAAAAAACGTTCATGCTTGTTCTATGCAGCTATAAACAGTACACTTCAAACTGACTGCACAGTTGGTTGTAATGAATTACAAAATAATCAGGTAGAATATCAGTCAGTTGTCCCAAATAAATTCTGCAACTTGGAACTGATATAGAAAACATAACATTCTACATGCAAATTATTTCATCTAAGAAAACAGGAACAGTTTAATATTCCCAGTATGCACAAAAGCTTTGCTTCCTGGGACCAAGAGACATGTCTCTGTTTTTCCCGAAGCAACTGTCAGCTAGCATTTCTTGCATTACATAGTGGTAACACTGCCTTCCTGAAAGTATGTGCCTTGCAAACTCCTCTAAAATCTTGCTCGTACAATGACTGTGCAAAAAGATGAGCTCCAGCAATAGTTTGGAGCATAGGAGCCAAATACTTTTATTGGTGTGGACCATTTTAGAGTATGCTGCCTGCATACCAAAATAAGCGCAAGTTAGCTTGCTTTCTGTAAATACGTTATCAGTTTTGAAAAGTAGTACTACAATAAAAACCTCTAATATATTTTATTCTGTGTATGATATAGGAATTAAATGTACATACAAGGTCAGAAGGATGGAGCTAAAGCTGCTTAAAGAGATATATGAGAACTGGTGGGTAGAAACAGAATGAGCTTTGAATATCCTCCCAAAAATACAGTGTCAAATGAGAACTGAGAAAGTGAAGAATGGAAACTATAAGCACAACAGTAGCAGCGAAGTGAAAGTCCTACACACCCAAGATCTGGTACCCTATTGAGCAAACCTTACCATCTGAGGCCATAGTTTCGTAAGGGAGCTTTTCAGCAGAACGCCGGTTTGGGCTGATGTTGTCTACCCCCAGCTGCTCATTCCTACCCCTTGTGCTGTGCCAGCGCCAGCACGTGCAGCCCCACAGTGAATAAGGACAGAGACCAGATGGTCCTGCCACTGCTGGAGATTAACAAATAGCAACAAAAGCAGCGATAGATTCTGAATTACATGGAATTCATACACAAAGGAGGGGACTCACGTTCCTGCGTGTCAATGAACATTTAGTCAGGGCTTCAACAAGAACAGGAGCGGGCCAAGCAATTCTTTGCATCAGATACAGAATTGGCAAGCAGCTACAGACATTGGAAGCTTCAACTCTGAACTCTCCAGCAAAAAGCAGGGCTAAGAAAGAAGAAACGACCACATCAGACTTACTTAAGAGACCCTGACAGCTTTGGTTGCTGAAGAAGTTTATCTGCGTGATTCAATGCCATAAGGTTATCACCCAAAGCCAGAGCCACGTAAGCACTACACGCAAGTATTGAGCACCTGGAAGGAAAAAGAAAAAACAAAAAGAAAAAAAAAGGGGGGGAAGCCAATATGTTAAATGGAGAATTCTGCAATTCCAAATGCAGCTGTTAAATGTCTTGGTGAAAAAATAAATCATGAACTTGCAATAATGCCTTTGCATCAATCTATGAAGGAGCTAGTGTTCCATTATCTATGGCCTCAATCGCATTCTCTGAATTAGAGATACATACGTTGTGGTCTATAAACCAAGGATCACCACAGTCTGCTCAGTAAGATTTTGCAATTTGGACCATAAGTAACAGATTAAAGAAAGATGGACCTCACCACATATTTTTATAATTTTTCTCAGGAATGGTTTCTCTTTCTCACCCTCTTTTTATTTGTTTGGACTCAGATTTGTATGCGCCCCCCCCCCCCCCCCCCCGCTGCAGCAAAAGGTTGCAGATTTGTAGATTTCAGCAAGGTAAAATCTCTAGACACATAACAGGAATCAATGAAGTTGTAGCACATTTCACTCTTGTATTCTACAACGTTTGCACACAGGCAGACAACAAACACTGGAGAATTTGGTATTTCCAGTTTTGAGAGCTGTAACCTGCTGCCAAGACTCCGACTGATCTGTGGCTTTTTATTGCCATCACAAACTTTTCTTATCTTTCCAAAACCCCCAAATCTCTGGCAGTTTCTGTAATAAAATCGGAACTACTTGCATTTTCCATCTCCAAACAATATCTCTATGCCAGGATGCCATTATTAGGCCAAGCTTCACACTTTGTAATAACTGCCCTCTCCCTTCCCAAACACGGCACTTGGGGTTATTTTCCACTTGGTAAGACATTATTCAATGCAGGCTGCCTTGTCCTAAAGGCACAAGCCTCTGCCTGAGACACCTTGCTGTGAGCAGACTGTCTTTCTCCAGGGAGGAAGAGCAGATCCTCTTAGTGGGGTCTCATGTTGGGAGCAATGGGAGGAAAGCCCTTGACTCTCCCGCTGGTAGGTGGGCTATTACTGTGCCAACCTTCTGGCAACTGTCAAGCCCATTTTCGGTCTAGCAATAAGTCATGTAATTCGTGGCAGGACCTGGGGTGCCTTTATTCCCCTTTCCCAGGAGGCATGCTCCTTAATTACACACAAGCAGGATAAGAAGCTTCTCCAGTATTTCTCCCTACCCCCCACTTCCTCTGCACTGTGCCCAGATGTCACATTAAATCTGAACACATACAAAAGCTTGAGAGAGGGAGAGGAAAGCTTCCCCAGCTCAAATCTCAAACCTAAAATATTTCTGAAAGATTATGACCGGGGAGGGGAAAGGGAACTTCTTTTCTTTTTAATTTTCTGTAATAAGTCTGTTCCTAAACAGCCTCTTTTCATCTCTGCCCCAAGGAAGCACAGCTTTTAAACCAGCAGAGATGCAAAGCATCACCAGCTAAATACAAGTCAAGGTGTGCAGAGTTGGTTTCTACTGGCCTTTATACCAATAGGTATCTTCTATTTCCCACATCATTTTAAAAGCCTTTTTGTACATCTGAATGCATGAACTCAAACACAAGACACACTCCAATCACACAACAGTTAGCCCAGCAAAACTGAAACCTACTCCTCTGCTCTAAAGACCCATCACTGTTTAAGCCTTGTAGGAGCTGAGCAAGATTCTTCAGCTATAGCCATCTAAAGAAGAGGAAAACATTCAGGCTTTCTTCCCTGCAGTACTGTTCTTGCACACTTGGATCCATTGTTGGAATCAGGAGATTCCAGGAGACCTGACAGCTAACCAGAGCAGAAGAATTGCACAAGGGAAAAGACAAACTAGTTTTTCACCCTGGTCAGGATTCTGACAAAACGCCACAGGTCGCCTTTGAGCGTGGCACTCTTCCAGCATCAGTGAGCCTCTGCATGCCCAAAATAAGACTGCCTTTGCACTAGGAAAAAGAAAAACTGTTTTTTTTTTTTAAACTGCCAGATTATGTCAAACAGCCTCTTGTGTAGGTCTAGGCAACAGGATTTGTCAGCCCACACAGACTGAAAGCTTACAGAACCCAAATTCCCCGTCTGACTTGGCTTATTTCTCAGGCAAAGGGCAAGCCAGAGCAAATCTAGTTCTTCAAAATTTACTATGAAGACATCAAAAACTGCACTTCTAAACTCTTCAGAAAGCATCATTAACGTGAGATAATTTCTACTAGCTGAGCACAACAGTGGCTATAACCTCTCTGCTTTTTACCTTTCAACACAGACAATACTATCCAAAATTTTAAGAAATACAGAATGCAGAAGGTGCTTAGTCAAATGGGGAAATTCAGCACCAGCAAAGGGGAGATGGGGAAGAACTATAAAGTGGCTGAGAGTGAGGAAGAAGAGAGATAAACAGCCATGGGACGATTAGCATTCTGAGCTTTCAGTATTGTGACAGGGCCAAACATCCCACTGCAACCTTTTAAGTGGATAAAAGAGGCAAAACTGGGCAGCTGGGGGGAGAAGAGACAAGGTATATCAGTGGGTAATCGTGGGCCTTACAGTATTACCTGTGAAATTATCAGCAATGTCAGTGACTGTCCTGGAATACCATATACAATACTAGGGTATGCACACTTCAACAATATGCAAGAAAATAAAATAAAGCATAATGATGGGCTGAAGAGTCAAAAGAAAGGTGGGGGAAGGTACAATTGGATCATATGGCTTACATCAAGGGTTTGCAGTCCATCTCTCTTCAGGACAAAGCAGGTGATCAAACTATTCCTTCATCTCTAGCTGCTCGGTAGGGGAAAATCAACATTCTCACACAAAGTTGTTCAATGCAGGGAGAAAAGGGCTATAACCAGGGCTGTTGCTAGCCATCTCAACTTTCACAATACAATCTACAAAATTTCAAATTTAGTAGCACTGTGGTCTACCAGACCTCCTTTACTCTTGATATATCCCAACAGTGTTGGGTTGTTCCAGTGTGGTGAAACATACCACAGGCTGAGAGCAGAGCAGAGGAACTGGCATCTCAGAGGATGAGAAGCAGCAAGGAGCAGAACTGTTTAGAAGAAACTCAGAAGAAAAACCTGGAGTTTCTACTGCCTATGCATCAATTCTTAGCAATGCTTGGTGTCCTCAGACTTCTGCTTAGTGCTTTTAAAACCTTGCAATTATTGCTTAATGTGAGAACGGTCTGCTCAACTACCAAACAATACATATGACACACAAGCCTTTTCTACATGGTATTTTTAATTTTTAAGAACTATTTAGGGGCAAAGTCAATCACTTTAAACTCTTAGGAGGATGTGCACCTGTACAAAATGATGCAAAACAAAGCATTTGAGTTGCTTGTTTCAGTTCTAGAAGCAAGAGTTTTTTATAATCCAGTGACTTCACAGAAAAGAACTGAATTGAATAGACACCTATTCCTCAGGATAATCCTTGCCACCATTCAGTATTTTTTCTTAATATTCCCTGACTAGACAAGAATTTTCATTTTTTCACTTAGCTCCTTAGTGAACAAGTCTACACGAATACACTAACATTTGAGCATAACGTATTTTGCTTTTCACAGGCGTCTACAGAAACTTAGAAGTAGTTTTAGCAGAAGCATTCTAGGGATGTCTGGTCCTCTGGGTTTAGCCACCAAAGCTAGCATGGCAAAATAGCAAACCAATGCTTTTCCTTTCCTTATATGATGTTCCTTACCAGAAGTGTGTAATTCTTGCTAAACTGATTAAGTTTCTCCTGACATGTTGTCAGGTTTCATCAGTAGATACAACAGCTGATTGTGAAAGAAAAAACTATGTATTAAAAAAGAAAACCATCAAGTGACACCATGTAATTTTGACATGCCGCAACCACATTTTCAACAGTCAGGAGAGAAAAAAAAAAAATCCCAAACCAAAACCACAACCACTGTTTTTAATCCAGTGCTTTCTATTTGGAGTTGCACGCTCTTGTACCACTTCAGAATAAATAATCAGGGTCTCACTAAAGTCTCCTTACAGATTCCTGCTAAATTGCTTTTAAATGAGTGGAGCAAAGCAAAGGTTAAGCTGGTCATTATAAAAGACAGGTTACCTGGGTTTTAGGCTGGAACAGAGTGTTTACCCAAGAGTTTAAGTAGGAAATTACTGTATGCTTTGTCCATAATGGAAACTTAAAACAGATTTCTTTTTCCTAAACAGGTGGATGCTTTATAGTAAGAGAGATTTTCAGCAGGCTGGCAGCCACCTGCAATAGTTAACATTGGCAGGGAATGATAATCTTGTTGGGGAAAAGTAAAGGGTTTCCAGATAACACGATACTTATTTAGACACATGGGAGTTACTCTGTTTGGAGAGCCCTCAGACTACTGAACAAGTAACTTAAATACCTTTGAGAACATGAAAAAAAAATCTACAGTCAAATTTTACCTATGTTCTCCCATGGTGAGGAAGTCAAATGCCTGGACACCAGCAACTCTTCTTTCTCTTAAATGCAAACTATTGATTCACTGCTGCTGAAAGGAGCATCATTCTCATCTAAAAGCAGCGTAGCTGCTTCCACCACTTCCTTTTTTTCCCCCATCAAACAAGTATACAATGTTGTGGGGGCTGAATTCCAAACTAGTTTTATCAAGACCTTAAAGAGAAAAGCTACCACACAGTAATTCCACCTATTCCACCTACCAGAATAGTAGCCATGGTCATGTTTTCAGCTTTGTCATTATGGGACTCAGTCTTTTATTTTTGCACAACATATAATGCTAAGCTTATAACCGTGGGATCAAACAGACAAATCCACTTTCTGAATTGAAATTCTGGATGGTTTCTATTTGTTTGAACTGAAAGCCCAGAAGAAAGGAAGCACACACATTTGAAAAGAGGCATCCTTAGATTAACAGCTACAATTCAGTGTTGCAAGTGCTTAAACAAACAAACAAAAAGCTAGGAATGACTCCAGAATCATAGCACAGCTTCATATTTTATAATAATTTTATATTATTTACTTGCCTTAAATTTTCTAATTCTTGTTTCTTCAAAGGCGAAGAAGGTGGAGCTGCAATGAATTTATCCCCTTCATGACTTTTATTGCTAGAATAAAAACAGTGTATTAAAGAGTGACTAAATAATAATCAATTAAAAAAAACTTAGTGCAATAAGCATCAATATTTATTCACTCCATTTAAAGGACAGCAAAAATTCTATAGCCTAAAAAGCAGGGAAATGAAACTATGCAGAAATTGAGACACATGCTCTTATCCAAACCATCCTGTGTGAGAAGGAAGACGAAAGACATTTGCTGGGAAGGATTTGACTGACAGACCAAACGACCCACACCATTCTCCACAGCCTTGAGTTATTTCTCAATAGGACAAGAACTTTAAACTGGAGAGACACAGAACTTGCTGCATTGGTAGCCTCTTTTGTTTCAGCCTGTAAGAAAAGCAGTAAACTAGTTCTCTCCTCAGATATCTTAAAAACTACTTACATAAAGAATCTAGAAAATAACACACAAAGTTCTGCACCTTACTTTAGACTTCTAGCTGCACTTAATTTTTACAATTATTTCAGAAGAGTCTGTCCACTGAACACGAACTTTTAAACTGATGCAGCTTCATATCTACTTATTACAAACAGGTAACTTCCAACTTAGACCTTCAAAACGGAAAGCAACAGACACCAAGGAAAACTGTACTCAATGCTGTTGTAGTGTAGATACTTCATGGCTTTGCCAAAAATTAGATTAAAAAGTACCCTTAACCGTTCAAAGTGTTTACTGTTTTTTGTGGATAAGCAAGAATCTGCCTCAGAATCAGCCTGCTCAATTGGTGGCATTTGCTCCAAAAGCATCCTGCTCAATTAGTGTGATTTTCTTCAAATGCCTTATGCATTTTACTCTTTTCTCATGGAGGTTCCTCTGTCAGAAGTAAAAAATTCCTAGGGAATCTTTCAGAACGTGACACACATTCAAGAACAGCCAGCTTTGTTGCTGGATATTTTGAAATTGGCAATGAGAACTGAAAGATATGAGGGAGGCTTTTCTGTTGTTGCTGTTGTGTTGTTTTTTAAGATGAAGAAGCATCTGGTTTTAAAAGCAAAGGTAGTAAAGTATCTTCCCATATAGCACATGTTTTCCTTTCCTCACTCCTACAAAACCAAACACCACCACCTCACAACCAAAACAAAAAAGGAGGTCTTGTCTGAGTAAGGGTCACCATTTTGTTTTCATCACTGCCCCTTAGTGGGCCCCATAAGCTTCAAATTGACCTCTCATTTAAACCTGAGAAGCTTCATCTCAATGGGCCGCATACAGCTTGCCAGAGAAAGTTAGTTCACAACCGCCAATCTCAGTAAGGAAAGAAGAAGAAAGCAAACAAACAAAAAAACCCCAAAACATCAACCACAGAAACCCCCAGAGTTTTATAAGTCATTTAGTAACTTGTCAGGAAAGACTGTCATTGGGACAAGAAGGTTACAGAGAACAGTAAATAGACTTTAAATATGGTTGCAGCAGTAACAGCCACCAGCCCCTAGCCATAGCCTGCCTCCAGGCAACCTCAGAATAGAGAGGCTGTGTCTCTCGCACGCTGCACGTATGCTGTGCTGTGCCTATGCAACACAGCATATGTGCAGTAAATCCTTGGCAGGTGACAAATGGATCCTATCTTCTTAAAATTTATCTGTACTTGAGTCTGACAAAAACATCGTGGGTATTTTATTACTAAGTAGTTCAAGTTCTAACATAGCCACTTTTCACAGATTAGTTATTGTAACTCTTCCCTTCTCAAAATGGTCATTAGTGAAAGCACAGGCCATGGCTAGAAAAGTTACTCTTCAGAAAGAAGTTTTGGATGCACCAGGATAAACACACACAAAAAAAAAACAAACAAACAAAAAAAAAACCCAAAAAACCCAACAACAAAAAACAAACAAACAAAAAAAACAAAACAAGCAAACACAAACCAAAACTACCTTCCTGCTATTTAATGTTTACATTTGACAGATATTGCCTACAAGTTACTTTTTCTGAATCTTTAAGGAGAAAAAGAGCTTAAGAAAAAACTCTTTTTTGTAAATAGCGATTTATTAAGCAATAGCTCCATGCTGCTTTCCTACTTATCTTCTAAATCTAGTTTCTCATTTCTAGTCTAAAACAAACTTGACAAAGCATACTAGGGCTGATGAATGTCAAATCAGATCATGGGGAAATGTTTACAGCTGAGTTGCCAGACATTTTCATACTGAATGAAGTACACGGTGCACGTGCACACACACATAAAATCACTGTAACATGTGAAAGTTCACTTACAATTAGAGAAATACCACTATGCACAGTGGAAGGGTGTTGGAAAACATAACATTTGCACCACAGAAAAAAAGATGGCCAGGGAAAAAAAAATGAATGCCACTGTCTCATTGATTAAAGTTGTTACGAATGGTACGAATTAACTCAGTTTCGTAGTCTTAAACTAGCATTCCAGCAATTGAAACAATGAACAGCTAAACAATATCCTTGGATATCCCAACACTACTGAGAGAATTTACACGTTATTTTTTTCTGCTGGCCAAACAGGAGAGATAGCAGACACAGACTGTCAGCCCAGAGACAGAAAGGTTTATATGCAATTCTGTTTACCTGCATGCTTCACTGCTTTCACTGTTCTCTGTATTTCCCCCCAGCTGATTACTAGTTTTAGATCCATTTTCTTGCTTTAGCTCCTGCTGATCTTCTGGGAGCAGCAGCAAGGCATTTCTTAGGCAGATTGCTGCAAATTCCATACTTGCTACAGGTATTGCTGAGGACTGCCCATCGCTTAAAGAGACACAGAAGTTAGCCAACAAATAGCAATCCTACTAAAACAGTAAAAGCAGAGCTCCAGAAAGATCTGAATGCAGAGAAAACTTTATCTAAAAAAAAATGAAATCATGTTTTAATATAACAAATTTAACTTATGAAGGTGTATGTATCTTGCTATTCTTATTTATCAAAAGTATGCCATGATGCCCAAATAGAGTGAGGAGACTCAAAAACAATTACAAGTTGTCTTGGTTTTCTTGACTTCACTTCCTGAAGTTTTATGGCAGAGCAACTAGATTCTCCATGAACTTTAGAAAAGTGGATTAGTGAAAAAGATGTATTTTTTTAGTGAGAAAAAGGGGAAAGATTTAGCTAACTAGAAATATGAATCTGAGGTAAATCAGTTTTAAGCTTTAATCCCTCTTAGTTACAACAGATACACAGTTGGGCCCTCTGCTGGCCACCATAGAGGAGGCATGCACATGATGTTAGGACTCCTCAAACATTTTAGCATGCCTCTGTCTTCCCTATATTTATTAATAATTACAAAATGAACAGTTATTCCATTACAGTTTTGAAAACGCCTGATAAACAGACAGGTATCCTTAACAAGGCTATGATAACAAAAATAAACAGCCCACTGAAATCTTACTTACTTATAAACAACATTCTGTATTGACTGGGATGCTAGGACTATCTTACGGTGGTAGCCTTGACCTACTATAGATTGCACAATTCCCTTTTTGCTTGGAAGACCTTTAGTCTCTTGTTCTGATGTCTGAAAGGAAGAAAAAAAAAAAGGACTAAAATATCAAGGCTGTTGAATGAAAGGTTGACAAAATGAGTGAAAGCTGGAAGACAAGTTTGAAGCTGCTAAAATGTAAGAATAAATAGTTTATATGGGTACAGTTTGAAATCTTGAGTACCATGAAGGATCAGGCACCTTTTATTGTCTTTGTGTTGCAAAGGCATTTTACTGCACACAGCGTAACCCCGATTAGTTCTGACAGTTTGTCTGATGGCCTACCGACCTAGTTTCTCCTCTGTTTTGAAAGCAAAAGAGCAATGAACTAAATCATATTAAAAGAACTGCAGGGATATCAAAAAGGAAATCATGATCTGACAAATAATATTCAGAATTGGCACTGCAAAACTTGCCAACTTCTCTCCCTGCTTACACAGCATTCAAAACACCCTCTAAAAAAGCTTCCTCAACCATTCCACAGGGAGCATGAAGCTGAAACACAACATACGCAAAGTTACATTAAATTAACAGATTTCTGAGTATGCAGACATTTAAGACTAACTTAAAATCACTCTAATTGTCAGTCTCAGGACTCAAAGCTCTCTACACTACATCTACTGAGGTTTGGTTGTTTTACCATCTTAACAACTTTGTTGGTAAGTAAAATTAGTGATGAAGTGTCACAGTTGTAAAGAAAAACTGTATTTTAAATAGCTATCACTTTTTAGAAAATTTATCAGAATCTATTGTAAAGAAAAATTATTGACATCATGATGGCATTTACTGTCAAATAAAAAGATACATACAATGAGTTTGGATATGCAGCACATTTTAGAAGAGGTGTTGAAAAAATGCAGAAGGGAATCATCTTCCATGGGTATTTTATAAACTAAAATACTAAAGCAGGTGAAGATTAGCTTCAGTGAAATTTCCTTTCTGCATGGTGTCCAGAGTATAATTGTGAATCCATGCTTCGATATCAAGGATTATTGCAAATTGAGTTACAAGATTAAATTAAACACACCTTTGATATTAGGGCCTCACTTGTCATGTTGCAGATCTATCTTATAAATTAAAGACACTTCCTTTGCCTTTAACTTTAAGGGCATCCATTAACATTAGAAAACCAAACACATTAACATTACAAAACATTAACGAAAACATCAACATTAATGAAAGGTCATTTTTTTTGGTACAATTTGTACAATTACAAATTTAGGAAGCAGCAAGCTGGTTTTGCGACATGAATTCAAGCTGTCTGGTACACCACAACATCACATCAGTAGCAGGGAGAAAGCTACCCTTCAGAAGCCTGGCATCATCTGGCCCAACAGTTGAAACTTCAATGCTGTGTCTGTGAAATGGGGATATAAGCAAACCTCTCCTATAAAAAAGCTGTGAATATCTTCCTTACATTTGCTGAAATAGAGATTCCAAAATAATGAGCACCATTGAAATTCCCAATGGAAAAGTTATGAATTTTTTATTTTGAAGGATTTGAGGAATGTGCAGTAAATAAGGCACACAGGCCACTCAGAGAGGGAAGAGAGAATTCTGATGGGGGGGAACAGAGTCAGTATAACCATTTGTTCAATTAATCCCATGCACCCTGTGCACTGAGTGAAATGGACACAGTCTGGAAATAACTGCATGGGATCATTCAGTTACAGATTACATCATCACACACACACAAGGGTGAATGACAGTTTCACAGGGAATCGAGTACAGTATCTCTTTAATTTCACAAACATACTATTTTGGTGCAGTTTCCTGCTCTAAGAATGAATAATCCTGTCCCAATCCCTCTGAATTTTAACAAACAGGCTTATCCTAAATAGACATGGATCAACAGGTTAAAACCAGTATGTCCCAGATGACATGCAATACATCTGCTGTCAGCAGGTTTCCACAAACTTTGCCAGCAGAGAAATGACAAACCTCAGCAGCTAGGGATTCAGTTCCCCAGCAGCTGTGATCAGGACTACTTCAGGATGAAAAAGGTTCATCTCTGCTTCCTCAGTCTATGCCAGTTTTAGGCTAAGCACACTACAATATTGCTTCTCAACCTCTAGTAGTAACTGAGTGAGGAAATAAATGAACTTTGAAGAGTTTTGGCTGCATGAAGAGAAGGAAAGATCAGCAGCAGAGGTTTCATGCAAATTAATTCCTTAAAAAAGGGAAAATAAGTTTTAAAGAGTTTGTATCACTTGTACATCAAAAAACCTGTAAATAATTAATTAAGAACATCCCAGGAAGGAAGCTTCTCTATAACCACATACTTGTCCTCTACAAGAGTCTGCATCTTCCAATAAAGTTCTAGGACATATGCTATATATTTTCTTTTTTTAAAACAGTATTATTCACCAATCTGATCCAATAAACATATTTATTAAAACATAAGCCCCCAACCTTACTGTCTGTTAAAACAGTAGCAACATACTTTCAGTTATACCTTTTACACTGTAGCATCTAGCCTTAAAGACAAAGACTCTCTACTAGGTAGATGCATGTTTTCTCCTACTACTCCAGCTAAGATTTACGCTAGAACCTCATCATTTCAAAAGCAGTAAATGCAACTCCCAGAGTATAAACATAAAAAACTAAGATGTTTCAGTGAAACATTTTTGAAACAAAGGAAGAAAAACAACCCTTCCACCTCAAAGTATCAGCAAAAAAAGTTATCAAAGTTGTTTCTGTGCATCAAGCCTTGAAGTGAGTTATCAAACCTTCAGAGCAGCCACAACAATTTTCTGTCCTTGGATACACAAATGGTCACTGACTCCAATCTCACCTCGTTATTTCTGCCATCCAGATACAGAAATCCTTGGCAGTACAGAAATTAGCACAGAGAAAAAATCTTGAGCAAGTTCAATTCTTATATTCACACGCACACATACACACACACAAAAGAATTAACTTGTGGGGCTGGATTTTTGTTGTTTTTAATACATACCACATATGATTTTACATGGGGATTATTATTTTATATTATTATTTTATATTATTATAATATATATATTATCTAGTATTACATTATGGTAATGATATTATATATTTTATATATTATTATTTTATGTAAATCGCATGTAAAATCATATATGGTATATATTAAAAATATGTACCATATATTATATCTTACCACATAAATGTTTTATGTAAACCCCAAGATTTTGCAACCAATATGAAATGAGTATGAGGCATCATAAAATACCCATAAATAGTAAATCAAACCAATAATGTTAGTATCTGCATTTTAAGTAGAAAGCATTAACCATATTGCTTCCTGTTATAAAGTGATGTCTATTAGAGAATAATAAATATATTATTTGGAAAAAAAACTTTGTATTTCTAAAATTATTTCACAAGTTTTGCTCAAGGAAGGTAAACCATCAGATGACTTTGGGAAATCCAATGTGCTGCAAACCAATTTAGGACTACCCATTCAGATTATGAGCTGTAATGTCAAAGGGCTGTGATGGTAAATTACCAAAACAAAACCAAGCTTAACCAGTGTCTCCAGCAAAAAACTTGTCACTTTATAGAGGAGCAGCTCTAACAGGCACTTACATGCTTTTGTTTGATCTCAAGCCAATCTTTCATATAGCCTATTCAAATTCTTCTGATCTTAGAAAAGTTAATTGAACACTGGGTCTCAAGACATAGTTTCTGTGGTGTCTTTCCTCCACCTATTGCAGCTTCAGATTAAAAATGCAAATGCACACATACACACAAATATAATATGGATTTACATAGAGGTGTTGCAACATTAGGCCTTTAAAACGTATAGTCCAACCCAAGGTACTATTTCTTCCTTTCTGTGATCACATGCCTCTCATAACTACAATCAAAATAAGGAATCTGCAAATCTACTTACCCCTTTATTGGCAGCAATGCAGCATTCTGCTATTCTTAGCCAAAGACGAGGGTTTGAGTGATAAACCTGGACTGCCTCAATCAGGCATTCAAAGGCAGCTAAGGGTCTCCCAATGTGCAAGAGCTGAATTCCACAGTTGTAGAGCAATTCATACCGTTTGTTAGTCAGTAGTGTACACATGGGTCTCCCTGAAAATTTTTTACCTGCAGAAAAGATTACATTAGATTGGATGTGCAGCTTGGGAGAGCAGAAACGTAACACTGGGAGGAGGAGAGAAGCTGTGGGAAACACCCCAAACCAAACCCCTTTCATCACAAAAATCCACTAGCCTCCCTCTGTGTACTCCTTCCACATCAAAGACAAATTAATTGTATTAGAATCATAGATTGGTTTCGCTTGGAAGGGCATTTTAAAACCATCTAGCTCCAATCCTCTGCCATGGGCAGGGACACCTTCCACTAGACCAAGGTTGCTCAATATTCTTTTTCTGTGTTCTTAATAAAGGTCGAAGCTCATTAAATGCCAACCACTCAAGCTAAACATTATATAAAAATACTGATTCCCAGATTTGTGAGAATACACATTTTTGTTAATCATATAAATTCCAGAAGAAAACCTCTTTGCTGTAACAAAGCATGAAACATTTTCTATCTTGACATTGCTGCCTAAGACTGCACTTCGATACGGGGCCAGGGGAGGAATGGGAAAAGCAGTAACGCGTGATAGTAACTAGATTTTAAAGAAACTTTAGAACAGGAACTTTATTTTGTCACATCCCCCTGACTGATGGCCCAAGACTATGAACAAGGGAGAAGTAACTGTCCCAGCCCCATGACACATCAAAGAAAACAGAAAAAAAAGAACCTATTTAATCATCATCTATTTCTGGCAACAGCAACTGTACTCTGAAGTCAAGTTACAATCAAAATTCTCACTCTCCTTACCCTGCTCCCCTACAAAGAGATGAAACAGGAATTCTGCTGGTAGTTACTGAAAGCTCCTATCATTTGCTTTCTTGATTCACTTTCCCCTCTTTCACCATCTGTTTTTATCTCTTAAAAGCCTTACCTGGATCTGAATTGCCCATTCCTAGTTGTGCACATGCATTATCATTCTCTTGCAAGGCTTTTTTAAAGTAAAAAATTCCTAAATTGTGCTTTCCCATTGCAAAGTGGATGCAGCCAAGGTTGTTCCAGAACATACACCTTAAGCATTCACCTGAGAGAACAAAAGAGCATTTTTGTAAACTGAAAAATACCACTGAGCCTGTAAAATGCTCCCATCACTCTTTCACGGGTCAGCATGCTATGGTAGTCTACTAAACATGTTCTTCAGTGAGATGTTCATAGGTTATGCAGTTATGTCTCTGCCTTGCAAGCACTTTAATAACCTACATTGCTGTATACCACTCTAGTTCTAGTACACAATTGACCTGAAATGTGAAGCAGCCAGATTTACAGCTACCAAGCATCATATTTTAGGATAACCAGGTATAAAGCCAGTATGACAGACTGCAAGCTACAGAAGTTCACCTGGAGGTTTTCATACAGCTTAGCATGCAAGTACTTCAAGTTTTCTGACAGATGGCTCTTGTGAAAAGGAAATTCTCAAGTGAGATTACCTGCCTAAATTTTATAAAATAAACAAATATGTCAACCTAAAACAAACAGGAAATGCACTCTCCTTCCTAAATATATCATGTTTAGGTAACACTGTAAGAAGTTCCTTCTAAATTACAAAGGACAGAAAATGAAACTCTTACCTGCTGGTAACTGAAGCATTACAGGGTTTTCATGGATAGAAAAAAAGCCCACAAAACCCCAGCTTAAAAATCCAAACCACCAGGAAATACACTATTAACAACTTAACCAATGTTTTAATCATAACCTAGAAAGACTATTAAGTGAACATTCTACTGTACAAAAAAGGTGTATGAAAATAAAACTTTCCAGAAAAATTTCAGTTATAAAGAGAACTTTAAACATAAAAACTGACAGAAAGGTAAGTTACAGTAAATTCTAAAAGAAGTGTCAAAATATGCCAGAATAGGCATTATGGAAATATTTTGAATGCTTTCTATTAAAGTTATCTGTAAATACAGAATTTAAAAAAATTATTTAGAATTCAGTAGTTTTACAGTACAAGTGATTTTTTTAAAATCCTAACACCAAACACAGCTTTCTCACTGCATTTTTTAACTGATGCTTTAAACAGTCAACTAAAATCTCAAATATATTTAAATAATACCATACACAGTATGCAAACACAGAATATATATTTATAGTATATGAATAACTGTTGTATCTAAATATTATACACACTGATGTGCTGGTAAATTTTTGTACATGTCTACACATATATACTTTCTAGATATAAAAGCAATGTAAAATGGCATACAATAGAAGTCAAACACTTCATGGAACATTAGCATTTTCCCCACAATCATCATTATAACTGCTATAGTCTCTCTCTTCTTTGAGTACAATCTGAAATCCCATTTCTAGGTCTAGTACATCGCTACTTGTTTCATGTCATGATTTAGACACATAGATGAGCCTTGCAAATATTACAGTTACACTTTCACAAATTCATTTTCATAGACAACTGCTGCATTTTCTAGAAGAACACTCAGTGAAAAACACAACAGTGTTACATGAAGAAGCACAACAAGAAAGATTAAAACATATACAGCATATAAACCCATGATATTCAGGGCCTAGTTTCCTAAGTAATCATTAATATGCTTTATATTAATATCTATGGGTACTCCTATTATACTACACATTTAAGTGCTCGCAGGATGAAGGTTTTCTATTTTACCTGTTTTCATGAAGCCCGGATGTTCAGCAATGTTTGCACTGTTTAAAAGTTTGACTGCTTTACGATAATTGCCCCTCAAATATTCAAAATTGCTCTTAAGAAAGAGAGAAGGAGCTGACTGTGAAGGAGAAAACAACAATTAATTACCTCTTGGTTTATGATTTACACTGCTAGTGTTAGATTACTCCACAGCTGGCCTCTACTGCCATTTTAAAAATAAATGGGCCTAGGCCCTAATACTTTCAAGAAGTAGCATTTCTTTCTTGAGCACATGATTTACACTCACCTCCTCTGAACTACAAAATGATTCATACACTGTTACTGCTCTAAAACCCAACACCAGTCTAGAGAACTCTGTCCCGGCAATGGCTAAGTGCAGAGGATCTCCTTTTTATTTAGGAGGATCTTCCTCCAACCTGTCTTCTAGTACACTCTACCCAACAGTTCCCTCCCTGCGGAGTTCAACAACTTCCTCCTGGGTTGTGATCTTCCTGGTCTGCCAACAGAGACTGTTGTAGTTCTGTCAAACTAGTAGCTGTTGAGGCTGGCAACAAAAGGGAAGTGCTCTCCTCCCATTCCCTGCTCCTCATTTAATGTTGAATTTATTTGGGATGGTGGACGTAATTCTGAGTTGAGAACTCCTATGTAAAAAAAGAAACTGCTTTCTAGCAAGAGGTAAGCCTCAAATAAATTTCAACAAAAACAAAAAAAGCGTATCACAGAATTAATCTTTTATGAATCGATTTAAATCACCACTGACATCAGACCTTTGTAATACCCGTGACATTCATAGTAAACTAAAACTTGTCTTGCGCTGCTTACATTATAAAGCAAACTGAACCTGTTCACTATATAGTGATTCACTGTTAATTTGGGATTATTAATCATAAAGTGCATTTTCTGAGCAACTGAAAACAGCACAAGTAAGAAAAGTCTACACTAATTTTACTTGTGGTGAAGAGATTACAAACCCAACTGACTGCATAAAGCATTATTTCAGACACCCATTTGCAGTAAGATCTTGCTTTGTAAAGAAAGTTAGAAAATTCAATTTTAAGATAGAGAACAGATTTACATTAGAAAAACATTAGCTTTGAGAATACTTACATTCCCAGCTGTATTCATTACAGACTTGATCTCCCTTTTGCATGCTTTTAGTGACTTCATCTGGATATAGGCTCTCACCTTATACTGTTAAAAAATTACATTTATTAAACAAAAAAAAAAAAAAACAACCCCAAGAACTTGTGCAGGTTTGCAAGATGAACTATTTCTAGAGATTTATTACAGAATACTTCATGTGCATCTTAAAGCCAGGTAGTAAAAAGCTGTTCAAAAAGCCTTCCTAAAAAGACATTATATTCAGACCTTCAACAATAAATGCATATATTTTGCATTCACAGTAAACAGATGCACATTCTGTTCAATGGTCAACAGCTAGTGTCTATTCAAACATATACTAGCACTTCAAATGACAAACTAATTAAAATAACCTAACTTCTTAATCCCAGACATTCACCTACTAAACCGAATACACCAATTAGTGAATGCTGATAAAGAAGCATTTTGATCCTTCAAATATTTTTCTACAGAACAGTAGTGAAATAAAAACTCTGCTGATTTAGACTGTTGGAGGTCTGACAGATATAAGGTCAGTGCAGCTAACTGTAGTTTAAAAAAAAATTATGACAAACTGTGAGGACTGAAATCGTGGGGTTCTTTTGGTGTTGGGTCAGTTTTTCCTTTACATGGCTCTTAAAAAATGAAGAGTTAAATAAATTCTTTTGGTTTCCCACATGAAATTCAAGACAGAATATCACAATTCATGCTGAACTGGATGTGAAGCAGATGGTACTTGTTTTTAAGAAAAACTTGAACTAATATACTTGTATAAGTAATATGCAGACACTTACCTGATGTATCTTAGATTTAGCAACTTCTATTAAAGCTCCGCTTTCAGCTTTTTGATTCGAGGAATCTTTATTTGTATTATTACCCGACTGTCAAACAGAAAAAGGGAAGTGTTACTATTAGTCACCTTTTAAATTCAGTTTACAGATTCTTTCATAAGCTATTTTTATCAATCGCACAAGAAGAAAATTATTTAACAGTCAAAAAATACACATCCCACCAAATACTGTAACTCGAGCTTAACAATCAGAACCCATGAACAGCCACAACAGCCTATGAAGAGCAGAATTCTATATTAACATCAGTGTTACACTATGTTGCTCTGCAGTTGAAGCATTTTAAGAATTCTCTTACCTAGAAGGATTATATGTACATTCTAGTCTCTCTTTAATATTTTCATCAATAGAATTACTATATACTTAAAGAGAAAATATTTTATCTTAAGTATGACAATCCATCAATGGGAAAAGACTGAAATGTCCTTTTTTCACTTTCAAGCCACTAGTCATTCCATTGATTTTTTTCAGAAGACACATACAAAAGATTTCATTTGAAAGTATTCCTCATACTTTCAGATACTGCGTAAAAAAAATGCTTGATTTCTTATCCTTTGGCATGCAATTGCAATTCCCCTCTGACACCGATTTCCCTTTCAAATTCAGAGTCTCATAGTCATAATCCAAGACAAATAAGGAAAACTAATTATATTTGACCATGAAAACAACTGTCTTTCCAACACAACCGTCTGACTTAAAACACTTCTTAGCTCCCTGGGAGTAGGAGACAAGGATGAAACAGAGGGAATAAACAGCTGCTGTATAAAACTAACTCAGTTACTAACACGTATAAGTTGCTGTCTGAAGTTACAGGCGATCTAACAGTTTTATAATTCAGAAGTCTTATAAAAGTATTTTTGGGCTGTGTTAAAGCATATTTCATGTAAAGACTTAGTGGCACTCATCTTATTTTAAGCTCACCTCATTTTTTCCATTCTTGCTGTTACTGTTGCCCTGTGAAATCATTTTTTCCAGAACAGCAAGCAAATGCAAGGCTTTCTCAGCTTGGTAAGTTAGAAGGTATAGGTCTATAAGCAAGAAGCAGACAGCCTGGGCAAACTTCTCTTCTGTAGAAAGCAAAGAAGTAAAACTGATTTTACAGCTCTAATACCAATCCTTCCAAACACAACAAAAAAAAAAACAAAACAAAAACCAAACCAAAAACCAACCACCTGACTATAAAGTGCATCTATGCAACACTATGAGAAAAATACATATATTACATAAAAAAGCCCCACCATGCAGATATGCAGAATCCCATAGAACTTGAAAGGATTCCATACAAACTTATCTCTGCTGGGCTATCTTCTCAGGATAGCTACTAAACAGACATACTGAAAACTAGGAGGAATTGAAGGAGAAACATAGTAGTATTTATGTAATTTACGGAGACACATACATCTTTCAGCCTTGTTACCTCTATAATTCAATGAGGATTTTGAAGTTATTTAATACAAGTATGGCAATTACACTACACAGGGTGCCAGAGCTCATTAGAGCTCGAGACTTTATATTCAGATATGAGCACATACAATTATGTATGGCCTAATGCAGGTATTTAAAAATGTGGGTGCCTGACAAAAACACACCTACCCATGAAGTTGCCTGATGACTCAAAATACTAGATTTTAATTTATTTAATTAGCTTGTTCATATCATTTACATAAATACCTTTTAGAGATGTCAAAAATCCATTTCAGTTTCATTATACTTGTCTGCTAAATGCCCTGGAAGTGCCTTCCCCCCAAATTCAATTGCTGTCTTCGATACAAGTAAAACATAAGCTTCATTCCAAAGCCTACCTACTTTTTTTAGAGCCATATCAGGCAAATTACAAATCACTTGTCTGGTAGTGATCCTTTTGTAGTTATTGAATTAAAACTCTTCTTTCTATGTACATACCGAAAGGCTCTATGAACTGGTACAGCTTCTCCCCAACTGATATAGCTTCAGTATACTGACGCAGATGATACAGAATAACAGCTTGATTGTAGTACAGCATACTGTTTTCAACATCATCCAAACCATCCATTTCTTCAACAACAGAGTGAACCTGAAAGAAAAACAACCACTTTTTAATAAAAGTTTTTTTAAAACTTTTAATACCTATGATTTTTTAAAGTGTCAAAAAAAAAAAAATAATCCGAAGGTATGAATCTGTCTAAAGCTAGGTAAGCAAGAGCTATAGGCTAAGAAACTTTATTGTTGCCCACATAAATCCAGAAAAAAATTTACAATTAAGTAGAAAGCCATCACTGAGTAGTAAAGTAACATTTTCACTTTTTTAATTTTTTCACAAACTATTTCAGGTTAAGGAACTGTCAATTGAAAGAACATAGCACGTGTTTCTATGGTTATAATCTCTGAAACATTTCAGCTTCAGATCAATTTCACCAATAACTAAAAACGTAACTATAAAACCAGTGTTCTTAAAAGATTAAACAGACTCAGAGGTTTAAAAGTAACGTTACTTTCTTATTCCTTTATTAAAATCTAAGGGATAAGGGGCAGAAATTTTATTCCTGTTTCACTGGAATATCTCACCACCATTAACAGTACTCACAATCAAGTATTATGTCAATACATTTGCATTACCTGGTTCTTCAGCTGGTTAAGGGTTTGTCTCAAATTGTCTGTTGTAGTCTGGTTACTTTTACAGAACTCTGCAACAGCAGTATTCAAAGTTATTTTGTAGTCATCTTTGTTTATGTCTCGAAGGGTATTCAGGTGTTGTAAACAAGCATCATAGTTGCCAGCCTGGAAATTGCACACATACCAGAAACATGCATTTAGAAGATACAAAGTATGAATTAGCTGGTTACTAAGTTTTGATGAAAGTATTTTCTGTAAGTTTAAAGAGCAAAGTAGTATTTCCTTTATCAACAGCAAGCGGAGCAAACTAAACATCTACACACATCCTTTGTTATTTATTCAGATTATAATGTATGAGAAGTAAGTCTAAAAGTTGACGTCATATTCAAACTTGAAGAAGAATTTTGTGGAGGAAGGCCAAATGGAGTAGTCGATTATTACAAACAGATGTTTCCATGAAGCATTATTATGATTTCTCTTCATCATACTATTTTGAGTTTCAAGATTCTTTATTTCCTCAGTTTTCATAATCTTTCCCCATCACATGCACATTGAGCAGCTGCAGTTGCTTACTTAAGTCCCATCCTGTCATTCTGTGTTCATTCTTCACTTCATCTGGAGAGACCAAGTTATAATTTAGTCTGTGGAAGTCAGCTTAACACAGGTTGGAAAAAAGAGGGTGTCACTTTCACAGTACAGGTGTAAATATTTTTACAAGTTTTAGCTACTGAATGAAGTATTCTATCACCAGTTTAGGCATGCCTAAACAGAAACTAGGACCCAAGCGTGATGCTCCTCAGAGGTGTGACTTAATCAAGAAATCCCCTTCTTTGACCTCACTAATGAGCAAGGACTTCAGAATGGCAGAACTCTTTCTGCTTTCATTTTTAGTCTGCATTTGTGCAGGAGGAATTTAGTGGTATCAAGGAATGAAAAAGAACTCCAGACTCTTTCAACTATGTTAAGCCTAAATGATCCTTCACTGACTACTGTTCAATTCCAATATAGGAATTATCACTTTCACCTCTTCTGTATCAGGATTACTTCCAATCTGGTCAGCCAAATAAGCAGATTCGTTTCCATCCCTGTCAACGCTTCAAAATCGAAAGCTATGCTCTTGAGCACCATGACCACTTCCTCCTCCCTTTTAAGTGCTGTTCCATGGAGCTTCTCCAGTGCTCCTGCCTAATTTCCTCTATTAAGGAAAGCATTACAATAGAGAAAGGCTCTGTGGTGCTTCTGCTCTTCCCAAGAAAGTTGCCATGCTGCGGTGTCATGGTTTAAACCCAGTCAGGCAACTCGTTCACTCACTCCCCCCCTTCTTTCCCTCCCCCTACTCCCGGAGGGACGGAGAGGAGAATTGAAACGAATGCAACTCCCATGGGTTGAGATAAGAACAGTTCAGTAACTAAGTATAACACAAATCACTACTGCTACCACCAATAATAACAATGATAAAGGAAATAACAAGGGAAGAGAATACAATATCTCACCACCAGCCGACCGATAACTCACCCCCCCAGCCCGACCAAGCTCTGACCAATACCTCCTCCAACCCGGCAGTCTACCAGCCCTTCTGGCTAACTCCCAGTTACATCCTGGGCATGACGTGCTATGGTATGGAATACCTCTTTGGCTAGCTTGGGTCAGGTGTCCTGTCTCTGCTTCCTCTCAGCTTCCCCTCCTCCCTGGCAGAGCATGAGCCTCACAAAGTCCTTGGCCAAACCAAAACATCCTTGTTATCAGCTCTGTTCCCAAGCCGAAAGTCAAAACACTGCACTGCACCAGCTACCAAGAAGGAGAAACATGACTGCTACTGCTGAACCCAGGACAGGCGGCTACTCTCAAAAGAACCATCCCAGTTCCTTCAGTCTCCTATGAAAGCACAGTTACACAATTTAAAGAGAGATGTAGCAGGATGTTGATTCTCAGTATTTCCACAACTCTAAATATCAACAGCATGGATTGCCTAGTGATCATGTGCATAACCACAGGGACTTGTAATTCAACTGCTGGCATGCTCTTTAACTGAGACAGTTCATCTCCCAGTGATCGTCTTCATGTGTTCACACTCAGAGCTTCTCTTCAACAGGAGTAGCTTTCAGGTCAGAGCAACAAGGCTTCTAACCATGGCTGGACTAAAAATCTTGAACCCTTAAATGGTCAACTTATTTTTCCCTCAGCCAACAACAGTTCTTTACTTGACTCTACCAGACAAAATCTAGGATATGATATAGAATTCTGCAGTAATTCTATCAAGGCTGGTATTGGAAGTGAAATATAATAAGGCAGCCCACAAAGCTATTTAAAGCAACTCAATAGCAAACAAAACTGGCAAACATGGCAGCAGATTAATTCTGCTCACATCTGCTGCTACTTCACAACTCCATGAACTTAGAGAGTTCTTAAAGCAAGGAAAAAAGTATGAAATAAACAAGATACACTGGACAAATATTAAAACTAAAAGTCTGATCTGCTGAAATCATTGACAGATCAAAAGTATTTTAAGCTTGTAGATCTGTGGGCAAGGTGGAAAATAGACAAATCTTTCATGTGCCTTCAGTTTTCAGGATGCCAATGAGCAAAGAGCTATTGAAAAACAGTCATTGAGCTAGAAAGCACTCAAGAAGACATCAGTGAACATCAACTGTAGTCAGTTTAAGGACCAACTACATGTAACAACATTCTAGGCAAAAAAATGTAACAAGTGAAACACACAAGAAGGAACCTCATAAGACAGTATTTAAATTCTTCCCTCAATCTATTTAATACATCCAAAACCGAATTCACAGAATCAGAATAGTTCGGGTTGGAAAGGGCCTTAAGATCACCTAGTTCCAACCCCCCTGCCACAGGCAGGGACACTGCACACTAAACCATGTCACCCAAGGCTTCATCCAACCTGGCCTTGAACGCTGCCAGGGATGGAGCTTTCACAACCTCCCTGGGCAACACATTCCAGTGCCTCACCACACTAACAGGAAAGAATTTCTTCCTTATATCCAAACTAAACTTCCCCTGTTTAAGTTTTAATCCATTACCCCTTGTCCTATCACTGCAGTTCCTAATGAAGAGTCCCTCCCCAGCATCCCTACAGGCCCCCTTCAGATACTGGAAGGCTGCTATGAGGTCTCCAAGCAGCCTTCTCTTCTCCAGGCTGAACAGCCCCAACTTTCTCAGCCTATCTTCATACGGGAGGTGCTCCAGTCCCCTGATCATCCTCGTGGCTCTTCTCTGGACTTGTTCCAAGAGTTCCATGTCCTTTTTATGTTGAGGACACCAGAACTGCACACAATACTCCAGGTGAGGTCTCACAAGAGCAGAGTAGAGGGGCAGGATCACCTCCTTCGACCTGCTGGTCACGCTCCTTTGGATGCAGCCCAGGATACGGTTGGCTTTCTGGGCTGCGAGCGCACACTCTTGGCTCATGTTCATTTTCTCATCGACCAACACCTCCAAGTCATTCTCTGCAGGGCTGCTCTGAATCTCATTTTTGCCCAACTTGTAGCTGTGCTTGGGATTGCTCCGACCCAGGTGTAGGACCTTGCACTTGTCATGGTTAAACTTCATGAGGCTGGCATCAGCCCACGTCACAAGCGTGTCAAGGTCCCTCTGGATGGCATTCCTTCCCTCCAGCGTATCAACCGAACCACACAGCTTGGTGTCGTCGGCAAATTTGCTGAGGGGAAATTATGCAAGGCATTGTAGAGACAGAGCCACAACAATTGAAAGGAAAATCAATTACACTTCCTGTCACTTGCTACACTAAATAAAATTAGGAGACAGTACAAAGAAGTAAACTGAAAGATGTGGTACCTGAATTTTAACACACTCAAAAAGATCTTCCAAGAAGCACAAAACAAGTAGCAAATACTGCCTGTAGGTGTTACGTGTTGAAGAATATGTTTTAATGTAAAGTGACTGAACAGTATACAACAGTTTTTGTGAAAGAATAGAGAAAGATACTAAAATGAAAAAGGTTTGTTAGGTTGCTGGTTTTTAACTACATGTAGTTCCTTTAAATCCTTCAACACAACATTTTTAACTTGAAGCAATTAATTCTTCAGACATATCATGCATTTTCAACACTGACACAGAACAGCAACCTGCTTCTAATTAACTCAGTTTTTAAGATTACTAAATTTTGAGAATCAAGATTAAGCACAATCTTGTGCACTTCATTCAAGTATCCCCTTCAGACATCTCACACCACAGCAGACAGAAAACTCATGTGCTGTCTTGAGAACACAACTTGTGCTACTTTTTATATAATATCCCGTTAAAACATTTGCAACTGTGATAAGAAAACAGGAAGAATAATTATAAAAGCCCATTTAGCAGTTGTGATAAATCAGAAGTCTCAGAGCTTGGCCCTGTCTTACCAGAAAAGCTTGTAATGCACTGCTTGACAATTCCTTTTCCTGATCGGTAATCCCAGAAGTACCAGCTCCTTCATGTTTCTCAGTACCTTGATCTGTAAAGTGGTCAGAAGGTTACAAGAAAGTTTGCAAATGTGATGACAGCTCTTCAGTTTAAAAAATTTGTTTCTTCTAGTTCTCATGATCTTCTCACCAGTACAACTTACTTCCCAGATAACTGCATTATTGTCTCCCTACTACACTGAAATATCTCATTATCCTATCCTCCCAGTGAATTCCTCTCCACAAAATGTAAATGTAATAATCCTAGCTAAATTACCATGCTAAAGCACTAACCAAAGTCCTGCAAGTTAACTGACAACGCACACATTTTAGATTTTTCTTCAAAGCTGCAACCATATACTAGGATAGCCTTTATTTACATAAAGGGTACCACACTGGGTTAGATGAAAACCCCATGCATCCTGTATGTTGCTTCCTAAACAACAAGAGAGGGACACATCAGGGAACAACATACAAAACAGCAAACACTAGAACTTTCACCCAGCTCTCTGTTTTGGAAGAATAAGTCTCCCTAAGTAAGAGGCTGCAATCAAAATATCATTGTTAATAATCACTGGCAGACCTGATATATTTTTTCAATCTCTGCATACTTTTGCATTCTTCAATTATACCCCACAAAATGCTATGTAGTGATTATATTGCAATACAGGAGGAAATGCTGCCTATTCACTTTTTCCACCTCACTTCCAGTCTTGGAGATCTTTCTTTGAATCAATTCTCTTCCAGGATGAGCAGGCACAGTTTATTCTGTACCTTCCTCACATGTTTTTTCCCCAGAATCTTCTCCGGTTCTACTATATCTTTTTCCAGATTAAGGCAACAAGAACAGAGTGTAGTAGTTAATGATGGTGTCCCCTTTGAGCATTTATACTGCAATATAATAAGGGTTTAACTGTCTTCCATTTCTTTTACATAGAATTCTTAGTGTTTTAACTTTCAGTCACTATCGAGCATATTTTTCAGAAAGGAGTCTGCTGAACCATGTAATTCAGAATTTAGTGCAGTGAAGCTGCATTAAAAAAAGATAGTACAGCCATTCCATGTCAAAGAAATCAAACCCTCCCACACTAAACCCTTCCCTGTACTGAACACAAACTAGTGGAGGGGAAAAAAACAACCCAAACCATCATATCACCGCTCTGGACCACTTATTTCGGGAACCATGAACTCATGTGCTAGAACATACAAACGTAATTTAATGATTTTGAAACAAGGACTTTATAAACCGCTTTTGCAGAAAACTATTTCTTCAATTTCACAGTGGAAGCACTGCTCTAACCTACTTTTTGCTATCTTAATAGGCTAGGTATGCTTTGTAAATTCAGTGTCTTCTTTTTCTTCCCTAGCATTCACAGATGTAATGCAAACTCTGCTAATTTTGCTTTCACTTTGAACAAATGAAGACACTTATCCATGAGTTCTGCTTCAAAAACAACATAAAACCAACCATTTGTCTGCTCCTGACTACGAAATTTGCAAATATAAGACAAACAATCCTGAGAGGATTCATCAATTAACATCCTTAGTAAGTATAACATAGACTTAGTAATGTATTACTAGTTTGTTCTTGTTGCTGAGAAGACAGTGACATCCCTTCCATTGCCATATATAACAACACATTTGAGCAAAAACTGTAAATATTTGGATGTAATCCTGCTTCAAGACACCAACAAAACTGAGATTTTAAAAACTCAACAATCTTAAATCTGCAACTCACAAAGTAACCCACTGTGATTTAGACTAGATTCAGCAGTTTCAGTACTCTGTAAGGAAGGATCTCCAAGGGGCTACAGAACTGCATACATACACATACTATAAGATCTGTGTATAAGGCATTGATGAGTACCACTTGCACTGCCTTTTCCTTGAAAGGGAAGGACAGGAGAGAAAATTAAAACATAAAAAAGCTCAGAAAATGTTTGATGTGCCAAGGTTTTCTGCAGCAAAAGAGAAAAGGAACAAGAAGCACCTCTCCTTCAAGCTAAATACAGAATAAATTGGATTCCTGCTCTAAACCTTGTGGTTGTAGAGTTTAACAGAATGTTACCACCCTCCAAGGACCTCTAGAACAGCAGCGAATAAGCAAACATCTTCCCTTGTGTTTTCATGCTACCAGTTACATTATCTGCTTTTCTTGCTCAGCATGCCTTTCAGATTATGCTAGTAAAAGTAAACACAGTGCAGAGACTTGCCACTCAAACTTTTGAAGTTGATAATAGTCAGTCTGGTCAAGAGGTTCCTCACATACAGATTTACCCAGTAGAGCAGTGCCATCGACTACAGAGTGCATTACTGATTACTGCCATTGTATGCAAGTTGGTAAAACAAGCATCTCAAATGAAGATGGGCTTATGGAAGTATCAATCCTGAACTAAAATATCTTAAGTGAAAGAAGAGACTGTTGTCTAAGTTTCATAACAAAAGCACCACTTATTTTAGGTGCTTAATTTATTTCCTAGGGAAAAAATCAGAACATGTCTACAGATTTCACTATGCTTCTAAGTCTTCTGGAATGTTAAAGGGAAGAAAAAAGGGGACTACTTTAAACAAACCAGAGAAGTCCCTTCTCCTATAAAGCCAGTTTTATGGCTGTAATCCAAACAACTGCACCTACTATGACTCAGTAAACGAAACAGGTTTGCAACACTGGAAATTTATCAAGAAAAAATGAAGTGAAAGTCCAGCTGGTTCACAGCATAGCTCTCTCCTTTGAGAAAAAAAGTCAGAAAAAAAAAAACACAAAACAAACAAACAAACCAAAACAAAACAAACAAAAAAAACCCCAGACTTTGGCTAGTCTCTACCATTTTTGCCCAAATACACTTGAAACCTGTTAAAGAGCTAAAGGTGCTTCTAATCTATTGTAATCCTGCCACTCTTGTTTAGACCAGGACTTGCTGCTTTAGTTGATCTTTATTATTATTGAGAGATGTCACAGACAGGAGTCATCTAAAAGATGGCTGGTGCAAGATACTGAAAAGATTCCACTTAAATGGAGAAAATAAAGCATTCTTCCTCCCTTGGCTGCAAACGACTCTGAAGCACTTGCAAATAAAACTATTGTTTCCAGATTTCTTGAGGCATTTGAAAATGAAACAGGTAAGCACATTGTTCCCTGCGAAAACATACAGCATGCTGCTTGTTCACTCAGACCTAGTGATCTTTGGCATTCTTGCAGAAGCATGTGGCGTGAGTAACACAGCACAGCGCCCACTACCGACATGCTCCTATCCATCAGGTGAGACAACTGAAACAGTGCAGATTCTCTGCTCCACAAATGACAGGACTTGGTTTATCTCTGTGAATTGTATTTACACACAGACCTGTTTGTTTAACACTTTGTTTTGCCCACTTTCACAAGTACAGGGTAACTCTTTATCTAACACTTGTCAGGCAAGTGATAAGGGGCAAAAGGGGCAACCTGGAAAAGAATCAAATGCCCAGATTTTGATCTGGAGGGAACTGCTGCACTGAGTTTGAAGTTAAAGCAGCAAGTCAGGAAAGTAACTTCCTAGTGAGCAGTCCTGGGGCAGAGCAGTAGAAACACTATGTCATGGAGGCTTGCTTGCTTTGCACAAGCAGGGAGTTGTCCCTGTTGGAGAAGTTACTGGTGGACAGCAGAACTTTGGGAAACCTGTATCTATGAGAGAAGAACATGGAAAATTATCAGACTACCGCCTGAAAAGAGAGATTGCTCATCAGTTTGCTGACACACCACATAAGCTACAAGAAGCCACATCTCCCACAAAAACATACCCAAAGATACCCAGAGAGTGACTGCAATGAGTATCCTTCTCATACCTGTTCTCCGTATCTCCAAGGACTGCTGTTCCTGAGCTGTCTTGTTCCTAGGCCCTGTAAATTACATCTGACATGAACTGTGCTGTTGAATACCTCTGGAATTCTTTTTCTGGAATTACTTTTATTTCCAAACTCTACAGGCAGAGGGATAATATCTCCTTGGAAGCGGGGAAATCTATCTCATAACTCTTGCTCCAAAAGCATTTTGAAGGGTACGAAGACCAACCAGAGTGTTCAGCCTCTATAAGATAATGACAGTTTCTGGCACCAAAACTACATTTTTCTATGAAGCACTGTACTATTAGTATAAATGTAACAGAATTCTTCAGTGCTGTATAACAAAAAAGCAAACACTTCTCAGCAAAAAGTTCCTTGTAACTCACTGCTATGAACAAGTTCAGTATGTAGAAAGTCTTGCCATAGCTCACAGCTTTGGTTCACTTGGGCACATACTTTTCTGTTAAGAACGTACAACTGAAAAGTTCCTTCAATACTCCTAGGCCAACAACAAAACATAAAAAACCTAATGTCAATTTCTTTCTCTTGTAGTTTTGGAGATGCATACAGTGCTTACAAATAAACATAGGATTGTTTAGTATGCATCAGTCAGTGCAGTACACTAGTTTTTCCCACAAGCTTTTCCAGATACTGAGGAGTTCTGTATTCAGCATCCAGAAGAAAAAAACCCCACACTTAAGATATTTTTAAATAATCTTTCCCGCAAAGAGGTCTTCCTGCACGAAGGGCAGTCTTATGGGACACGGGTAAGTAGTATCAACACTAATGAGTTACACAGCAACTGTTCTTAAGATTTACTGAGGGTATTTACCAGATGATTTATTCTTTTTAATTCTGGTGATCTCTCTACGGTGTCTTTTCAGGCCTGAGTTTAGGGAAGACTCGCTCATCCCCTGAAACCAAAGCATCAACTCAGAGGGAAGCAGAGTCAGCTCCAGAGATCAAGTAGCAGCACAAAGCATTCGCATCTCCCCAGCACCTCCCAAATGCCCCAGTTTAATAAATTAACTCGACCCCTGCAGCAGTTACTAAACTCTGGGAGACGCCGAAACCCACCCCCACCACTATTCCCTCCCCTTCGCCTCCTTCCAGGCGGAGGGCACGGAGAGCTCCGTCCCCACACGGACCCGACATAACACAGGCCTATGGGTGGCGGGGCTCGCCAGCACTTCGTACCAGCCACCAGCAGCTCGGCCGCGCTGGGGCACTACTTCTTCGGCGGAAGGAAACAGCGCAGCGCACGGAGAGCAGTCGTTTCTCCTTCCGACCAGGACGCAGCGCAGCTCAAACCGCCCCCCCCCCCCCGCGAGAACGTATCCTTCCGCACCAGGCGGCCCAGGCCCGGGGCGGAGACGGCGGGCCGCGGTGGATTCCGTGACACTCACCCGCAGTCTTGTCGGCTGCCATCTCCCCCGCTGCGCGGTGCAGCCGTGCGGCCCGAACAGCGCCGAGAGTACTTTCCGCACACCGCAGTGCCGAGCACCAACCACACTACCGCAAATCAGCCACTATCCCCCGCGGGACTACTTTGCCGCCGCCGCCACCACCACCCTCCGCGCGCCGAGCCCGCCCCGCTGCCTGCGCCGCTCGCTCCTATTCGCCCGCAGCTTCCGGGTTCCCTGCCGCCGCGCGACGTACGGCCGTTGCCGGGGGACCGTGCAACTGGCGTCAGGACGCCGCAACGCTTCCCGCTGGGGGAGAGGGGGCGCATGCGCGCTGCGTTCCGTTCTGGGGGCCACCAGGCGCCATGTTGGTTGCTGTGGCATGCCGGAAGGCAGGGTTGTTTGTGGAGGGCAATGGCCACTTCTGTGTAGGTGCTTTCCGGTCCTTCCGCCACACTGGGTTGAGGGGCAGGTGTCGGCCGCTGTTTCGAACGTATTTTGTTCAAGAATGCATCCGGTTCTGACGTGCCGGGATCCCCTTAGGAGCAGCTTGTGTCGGTAGCAGTGAACCGGGGCTGCTTCAGGTGTCACCGTCTGGTGACGGGGAAACCTTCAAAATACTAGTTTAATGTGGGTTATCAGCCTAACTGGACTGTGTTAAGTATCGTTAAGGTGCTCGCCACCACCGTCGGTGGTCTTATGCCTGCAGCCCGAGTTCCAGCCTGAGAAGTGGCTGAGCGCTGAGCATTGGTCCAGCCCCCGCGAACCCCACATTTATACCGCCAGTCCGAGAGGTCCTTGCAGCTCTGTGCGCTGAGGGGCAAAGTAACCCTCACCAGAGTGAAGATGACAGTTAGCATGTTATTGCCATTATCTTTGTCATTGAAGTACCAGGCATGGGATAAATTACATTGGTAGAGTTGTAAAGATTCTTAAGTGTTTATAACTACTTGGATATACTACATACAGTATTTTGGATATACTATATATAGTATTTTGGATACATTATATACAATATTTAAGTGCTCACCTTTGCTTAGATGTGTCTTTGTAGGCCCAGCAGCCACATATTGTTACAACTCTTGGGTAGAGACTCTGGACGAGTCTGGGGGAGCCACCTTCTCTTTTGATCCCCCATTCTGATCCCACATACCACGGGGGGGGGGGGGGGGGGGGGGGGGGCGGGGCTGAGGTGAGGGGAAAGCGGCCCCAGATTCTCCTCTCCCAGGCACTAAAGGGTGCTTTGTGTTTCTGTCACTTGGAGTCAAGCTCCTGAGACAGGGACAGTCAACTGCCAAGGTTTGTAAGGAATGGGGATACTTTGTTTAGCAGAAGGATACAGTTGGAAAGAAAGAAACACACTTTTAGACACACCAGCTTTGATCGCCTCTAAACCATCAGAGCTTTTCAATGAATCAGGCCCTATAAAATGCATATTCCAAAAACATTATTTCAGGAACTTCAAGAGCAGGATCATTCTTTTTATTTTGTAATTTAAATTCTGAACATTCCATATTATGTCTAATGACTTCCATTAATCACCACTTCTCCAATTCCTCTTCACGTTAACTCCAATCTTCAGCATTTCTTTTACACATACACACGAGATAATCCTTATTCCAAGTCTCTGAATTTGTTGTTATGTTTTGTAATAAATATCTGCTGACCCAGACATTAGCCTGTATCTGTATTAGAAAATAACTGCCCATAAAGTTGCAATAGCAAGTTTTCTCATGTGTATGTATTTACTAGGGTAATTATTTATTTATATATGTATTTATATACACATATGCACACATATGTAAAAACTTTTGGTAAGCAATAGAACCTATATATATATAAAAGCACTGTACTACTTCTGTAACTGCATATTCTCTCTGACTTAATGAAAACAAGACAATCACCAAAAACCCACCCTGAGCAAAAGGCGCCTAACGTGGAGCTGATGCGAATGTCTGTCTCCTGCTCTCTTGGGCTTGTCACAGTGTTTATCACCAGTATCTAAGCAGCAGTCTGCTTTTTCCAGTGTGCTGCACCACCATGAATTTACTATTCCCTACCGTAGCTTTTCTTTAACAATCTTGTCAAAGTTCATTCAGTTTTAATTGTGGCAGCCCTGGTATCCAGCTGCTCCCCTCTTCTACATCATGACATCAAGAGGACAGTCTTAAAGAGTTTGCTTTGGCCATTGTGCTACGATTTTGCCAAAGGGCTTGTTTACCTGAGGGGCACTTACAGCAATGCTTGGTATTTCTTCCAGCATCATTTTGCCAAGTTTGTGTCTTGCCATTTCAAAATACTTTTCCCCCCATTTCGAAGGGACAGACAAAACAATACTTGTCAGCTGGCTTTTTTTTTTTTTTTTCAGTGTGGTGATTTCAAAAAAGGACTTAACACAAATAAAATCAGGTCTTTCCTCATATTAATACTTAAAACTTAATTGCTTGTGTGTGTGTAGGGTACAGAAGGAAGGAAAGAAACACCTGCTCTTTATGACAGTTGAAGCATACAGTCATGCAATCAAAAATGTTAACATTTTTCCTTCAAAAATACTGTGAATCCATCATTAGCTTCCTCCTAGGACAGGTGAGACAGTTGCCTGACCATGTCTGTATCATGTGCATTCTGCCTGAGATACAGCAGATCTTGCCAACTGAGCAGATCACAGAAAGCATCTCTAGTTTCAGCAAGGTAGGTATGCCATCTGCTGTGGAAGATACAGTATAAAATGAAATACGATTTGAGAATAAAAAAGTGTGGAAAAACCCTACTTCTAAAGTATTACCTCTCTTGGAGTTTTGGGTTTGTCAGGAAAAAAAAAAAAAAGAAGTGACCACAATTCAGGCTTTCAGCCCCAAACTCAGTTTGAAGAAACAAACATGGTACAGAGATGGGCAGGTTTTCTATGTTTTTCTTTTGCCCATTTCTAGGCTAAATCAGAAGAAGCCCAAAGGAGCCAACTGTAATTTGTGATGTGCAAGCTGAGGGGTGGGGAATTTTGAGGAGGAATAAAGCACATCTGCCCACAGGCAGAGGGTAATCCCAGCATCTCATCCCTCCCTCATCTCATCCCTAAAGTACCTTCCTTTAGTAAACTAAGTAGAAGCAGGCCAGGGTTTCCTCTCTATTTTGGCCTCACAAAGCAAACTTTTCCTGGCTCTGTTTTAAGTTCTTGCAGACTCGGTGCCAGCAAGGCAGCAATCTCCTACCCTGCCTTGCAGCAGTAGATGTAGATAACCTCTTCACTGATCACAGAAGACCTGGTTAGCAGGGGAGAAAATCAGGATTTGCAACATCCCAAATCTGACAGACTACTGAAGAGACAGAAGAGCATGGCCAGCTCCATCGGGAACTGGGAAAGTTACAATTCTGCCAGATGTAACAACATGGAAATCTTAGCAGCCTGTTGCCAAGTAAGTTCCAAAATACAAACAATTTAATAATGTGAGAAAGACTTTCTCTGCTACTAACAGAATTATAGAATTGTTAAGGTTGGAAGAGACCTTAAAGTTCATCTACTTCCAATCCCCTGCCACGGGCAGACACCTTCAGACCAGGGGCAGACCAGGTTGGGTCAAAGCCCTGTCCATAGGAAGCCACTCTCAGGTTTAAAAGCTCTTAACCCTTAGGTGGCACTACACCATGAAGTAAGGAGTGTTTAAGTATTATTTCTCCCCTTACAGATGGAGTTCTTACCTAAAGCGAATTACTGTAAATTCGAGTATGTCAAATGCAGCTATTAGTCTCAGCTTGCTAATCCTCTTTTCTGAATCTGCCTTTCAAATTCAATAAAATACACTTCTGTGAAGCTCATTTAAATAGAGTGTTTTTTCTTTCAGAGCGCTACAGAATATATTTTCCTGGAATATTATAATGCATCACAAACCATTTCAGTTTTCGTTCAGTTTGTGAGCAGTGACTAAGCCACCATAGGCTGTGTTTACTTTATCAATTCACTTGGAGCCGCAGCAGTAGATTGGCCATAAACTGCTGGTGCTGAGGTTTCTCACTCTCTGGTATATTCTCACACAGAAATTACTCTGCATGAGGTGGGAACCGGCTGGGCACCACAGACCTCCTTTACACATCTGGAAACTCCCTGCAGTAAAGCTATCTCACAAAACTTCCTCAACCACAGGACTTCTAAGAAGCAGCAAGTTCTACTTTCCCCTGTCTCATGCAGATACATTTCACACCGACCTCTGCTGACTACATAAAAACTTCACAGGCAAAGGAAGCCCCCTGATTTTTCTCATGTCTGCAGTTTCTAAGTGACACTGACACTTGTTTCAGATTCTGTTCTTCCATCTGATGCTAGAACACGCATTGCTTGGTGGCACAAGGGAGTGCCACCAAGTGCAAGGAAAATACCTTCTTACACCTTGCTTTCACAAGTGAAAAAGAGGGGCAGAACATCTTTCTGACAGCGCTTACCCCTGTGACAGCTTTGTTCACAATCAAATAGAGATGCTGAGCCTGGGAGACAAGCTTGGCAAGCAGGACCCCATTAACACTCAGGTGTGGAAAGAGAACAAGCAGGTAAAAAGCTTGTGAGAGCTGACAAACACAATGAGCAACGGAGCATAACGGATTTAGAGGAATGATGCCACAACAGACTCCATAAATTTCTATTATTATCCTTTGAAAAGAGGTGCTCATCTTTTCCTCAAATTACAGTACCTGACAAATAAGTCCTTCATGGCATCACTTACCTCCCCCTTATTCTAGATCTCATCTGATATTGCTTGTACACAGTACTGTTACATATTTTCCCTCCATTTAGCTCCCATAATAGCACCATTATCTTTTTCTGTTAGTGGGTTTAAGTCCAGGATCACCCAAATTGTGCCATGAAAGGCTTTCTTTGGGTAAGAAACAAACAAAAAAAGGTTTTATATCATCTTTGTCATTTTTCCCTTCCAGTGTCATCCAGAAGAAAATTGTGTTTCCAATTACAATTAATCTGGTTATCAAGGTAGTTGTGGAAGGAAAAGCATATATACATGACCATACATTTTGGGTTGTTTGCCTTCCTGTAGAGGTGGCTAGCCTAAAGCTTATGGAACTTTGGTTTCCACTTTAAACACTCAAATTGACAGAAAAGACTTTTTTAAGACCCAATCCTTAATTTGCAGAGGGCCAAAATGTCCAGTGTTACACAATTAAGAGCAAACGGATCTCTAACCCATTTTGTGATCACATCAGTGCCTTTTAGCACAAGCAGGAACTGATGTATTCGTAACAGTGAGATGTCTGCATGACATACATGTTTATGTCCAACATGTCAAGCACTACTTCATGCCCTCCTACATTGCAGAGCACTTTGACCATTTTGGAGATGCAGAAACAGAAAGTGAATGTACCTGTGTTGAATGAGAGGCTTTGAGTAAATGCTGGTTCTTTCAGCCCAGTCAAAAGAATTCTTCCTGTTGTGCTGGCCTAAGCTGACATACACTTTGTAAGGAAGTCTAATGCTTGCTTTCGTTGGTACTGCAACAGTTAGGAAGCTGGAGTTTACTCAGAAATTATGTCTCCAGGCAGGAATAATCTATAAATCAGAAAAGATAAGTAAATTCTTATTAATTACTTGTTTATGGTAGTTTTTATTCTCAGCATTTCTCCAGACATTCAGAAAAATACCATTTGTCTTTTGAGAAGTATAAAGCAATTCTTTTTCTCTAAAGATACAAATGAAGTATTTAACTGATGAAGCCTAGATGAGCCTAGGTAAGCTGATGCAAAAGCCTAGATGAGGTGGTGCAAAAGCCACTAAAAGTATTCAGTACAGTTTTTCTACCTTCACACAGTGCAGTAGAATCTTTGTGTATGTTCTCATCATGCTTCCTTTTTTAAAGAAGTTCTTATAGGCATTCAAGTAAATTTAAACTATTTTTTCCTTCAAAACTGTTAGTAAATTAAGAACACAAGAGTGTATTTTATGTCATGCAATTGCTGAAAGACATTAAGATTATTCTGACAGATTAATCTGACAGATTATTTTAAGGGATAGGAGGTTTGTTTATCTATTATTTGCTTAAAACAAAGTAGGCCTTTATAAAAACTTGATCTAAATGCTTTCATACTGCACATCTGCAGAGCATATGAAGATACCCTATTTATTTTGTTTGCTGTATAAAACCAACAGGAAATACTCCATTGGCAGCTATCATTGTTCTCTGTGTGAGACTGTAAGGCTCTGACTCAGCAGTCTCCAGTTCAAGCTGAAACGTCGGTATTTAATGTTATATGATTAAAGACATTGTTTTGGAATTTGTTTGTTGTTTTTTTTTAATTAAACTTTAATTTGCTGTGTAACATACTAGGAATGAAATAAATATTGTATATGACCCTGGATGAATCCAGGACAAAAATTCCAATCCCTATAGTGTTTTCTTGGCTTATACAGATAGATACAGATTTTATTTTGTTTCAAAGGTTCATGTTGGTTCTTCAAGTTCCAAATATATTTGACTGTAGTAGAAATCTTTCAAAGCTATTTTACTTTCTTTTTATCAGTCCTTTCTGCCTAATCTAAGTCAGTTGTAAATGCGTATGGCCTCAAAGGAAGGAGAAGAGCAACATAATGAAAATAGTCACATGTTCCAAGATGTTGAAAAGATGGAGTGCTATTCACAGAATTATTTACATGTCTCAGGAGCTAGAGAATCACTGTGGACTGACATATGGTAACTGTATGTCAGCATATGCATGTGCTGCATCTACAGCATATATCCATTTGCCAAAGTCTATTTGTGTTCAAAGTTGTAGCAAGAAGATCAAGTTTAAATGCAGTCAGAAAAATACAGAAGCATGATGATATGTTTAATTTTTAATTTTCTCTAGAACCAATCTTGAACGTTATTTATTCTTTGGTTGCTCCTTTCCCTGACCTTAGAGACTATCTGCACAGTTAAATTTATCCATCTCACCCCACTTTAAATTCTCAGAGTCAGGAAATAGGACTAACACTGAGGTAAACTAGAAAACTGGCACTACAGACTTTCTGAAGCTTTTACTTTTTTTGGCCTCTATATGAGAACAAAACTTGGGCCTCTTCAAGTTGCAGGGAAAAGATTTAAGAGATGCAGTGCATACAAACATGGAATTAGGAGAGGGGAAACTTTCAGCTCCCTACTCTAAAGCTGATAATTCAATACCCTAACCGCTGTGTCATTGTATTTGTTTCTGGTTTCTAGACCAGAAATCCCATTCTAACGCTGAGAAATCTCCCTTTGGAAAATTTTGCTGAAGTTAATATAATTTTTATAACTTCAGTTTCAATGAAATAGAGAGATTAGAAAAGTGCTGGGAAATTTCCAACCAATTTGCTGTGAGATATGAGCTAAGCCCAATTCCCATGCTTTTTCCCATATAAACATTCCTTCCTCTATCTCAAAATTGAGGATAGCTGCTTTCTTCAATTTTAGGGCCCATATTAGAGCTAATAAACAGTATGTTTGACTGTTCTGGCAACTAGAAAAGTAAATTATTATGAGTTGCAAATAATGTCGACAATTAACAGCAATAATGTTGAATATTTTGTAATCCTTTAGGGGCCTAAAAATTTCTTCCATTACTCAAAATTAAACGGAAAGTGAGCATTTTACTTGAGGGTACTGCATGATTGTGAAATAGTTTTGAGTGAGGAGAGAAAGCTGTGCAACTTGCAAGTGTAAGAGTGTTGTTTGAGTTACATAGATAAAGTAAACAGAGTATGTATTTCCCTTCTACACAGAAACATGCAGGGGAGACTTTATATTTCTAGTCAGAAGGCCGAGGAATGGATTCTCTTCTCAAGATAAATACAAAATGATTTTGCCAAAGGAGTATCATGAGATTGACACTGCTATACTTGAGAAATTCATGCACATTTTTGAGTCTCAAACATGAGTGAATGCAGCAGACCAGTAAAGCAATTATTTAATTATTCAGTTTCATTAACTGGGACATGGGATAACTACACGTGTCAAGAGCTAGAAAGAGGAAAGCTACTTTTAACATGCTTAAGTCCTAGGATTAGACAATCACCAGAATTTCTGCCTGAGGATGACAGCACTGAAATCTACTGAAGGTTATTATCATAACCAAACACAGTGGTGGTGGCTGAGGAGAGGCTGTGTGATCTTAACTGCAGTTTCTGCTTCACTGCATTACCTTGTCATGACATTAGCGCATATTTTACATTCTGTGAGGGGAATGCTTCCCTCCTCCTCTCTGCTGCTTAGAAACAGTGAACAGATGAGATCTGACACTTGAAAACGCTATAGTGAGTTGTGACCTCATCAGGGTATAAGATGATCTTAGTGGATGCAGAAAATTCAGATGCTCTCAGTATTTTTTTTTTTTTGTCCAGCTGGTGTCTTACCATCTCCAGTAAGATCTGAAATACAAAGCTGCTTCCAGACAGCACTGCCTTGTTACTCACTTGGCTTTACTGCCCTTGTCAGAGTTAACTGGATTTGTGACATAGTCAGGCGTTTACTTCTTGATTCTTGTTGTCCCTTGCCTTACAGGACACATATGCCAGGGGAAGCTAGAGTACATATAGCGAATACTAAAAACCTGAAGAGACACATGGACACTGTCAAGTTTTAGGAACTAAATTTAAGGAAATGTGTATTTAAAATACCTTTTATTATTATTCTAACCTATGCCAATATTATCACTTGGCTCCTGATTTTTAAGACAATTGGAGCACTTAACAAATCTATTTATTTAAATATATCCATAGCTCTCTAGACAATCTAATATCTCCCTCATTAGTTTGGTCAAGCATATAAGCCCAACTAAATCTTATTGAAGATGAATGATATTTTGGGGAAGAATGCACATAAAAGACAAACATGAGGTTACATTTCTAGTAAAATCTTAGCTTTTTTAAGTATTAAAAAAAACTATACTGTTTATTAAAGCCACTGCCCAAAGCCATGATTTTATCATCCCTTCTTTTGTGTGTGAGCTTATATTTTGTACGAGATGACAGTCTCAGGCTATAAAACAGCTCTTGTGCAATTCGCTTTCTAAACCTTTGCTACTATTACTAATGTGATATTTTGCTGTAAACATTTTAAAATACAATGAAAACCAGGTATCAATAACTGTGATAAGCAGTAAGTGATTTAAAACAAAAGCCATAAGACAACTCCATTTACACCTACTGCAAAAACATGAGTTTGGGGACAGATTCACTGGAAAAGGATTTATTCTTAAATGTGTCTACCTGATTACAGGAGTTTTGGTTAGATGAGGCATATCCATAGCCTTTGAGAACACATAAACACATATGCACGCTCACACCCATGGCATACCACTATAGAGGTCACAGTGGATGTAGTCTCCTATTTGGGCTTGAAACAAGAGTAAAAAACCACAGGTTGGGGTACATACAGAAATAGCTGAACATTCATATATCAGCATAAGCTAAATTTCATAACTTTTGTATGGTGTTAAGAGCAACAAGAGGAGAGACAGACCGACAAAGCAGTTAAGCATGGACTTTAAGCTTGTATCTAAATCCTTGCAAAGTTTATAGCTATGCAGTTGGAGCTATGTCAGTATGTAGCTGATTATATGATCATCATAGTCTACTTTATATAAGCATGTTGTTATTAAGTTTGTCAGCAGAAATGGAGTTAGGCAACTCATTTTAATCTGTAAGTGTTGTAAACCCAGTTAACAATACTTTCATATCAACTAGTGCAAAAATAATACACAGTGTATTATGTTAATTAAATATTCTTCATTAATTTCATTGAGGGTAATTATATATAAAAATATATAATCTCCAGGCAATAGCCCATAAAATATTTGGTGTATCACAGTTGCTTCATTAACATATCTCTTTCAGCATCATTATTTCACTTCAGTAAAAGAGAGATTTATTTACGTGGCATCTAGGAGCAATCCACAAGCAATAGCTGGAGCATGAAAAGTTCTTCTCTAACCATGCCTGCTGTTGTGGAATTGATTTATTTTTGGGGTAGAGCTCCATTAGGAAAGATAAGGTTTCTAACAAGCTATTTAAAATGCAGTGAACTATTAAAAAATAATCAGGAAAAGAAAGCAAAATTGCTTTGTATGCTTTTCTTATTCATTAGCCTGCTGAGTAGTGGTTAGTACTTTATAATACACTATTAATTCCAAGGGTGTATTAACTACAATAAACACATAACTGATTAAAAAATTGCCTGTTAGTCCAAAACATGTTGCTGAGGTCTGGTTGAATCTAAAATTAGATATCTGTAGGAGAAACAAAAACAATGTTAAGATAAAAAGAAAAGCCAAAATCCCAGCAAAACATAGTGCTCTGTCAGAAGCCAAATTCCAACTTAAAAAGCAACATTCCCCTAAACATGCTGTTTCGTTTTGTGTCGTTTCTACATGAACCTTGGAAAGCAGGACTGCCACAAGGTGACATGCTGAATGCATAAGGCCCTCTTTACGGATACAAGCTCTTCCTTAGTGACAGGAATAGGATCTCCACTTGTAAACCAATTTCTTAGAAAATTACTAAAAGCTGGCACAAGATAAAACATCTCCAGACCTGAA